TAATTTGTAAATATTTTGTACAATGTAGCTGAACTAAGACGGTGTTTGACCCAAAAACTGTTTTCGTACGCTTGGGTACAGCTGAACTTTTATATATTACTAGCATTGCCCGCGGCTCGGCCCGCGTTCATATGACCTAAAATCAAATTCTTAGGTTTTACATATTAGTATACTCTTACATTGCAATTTTTGTATTTTTTATCAGAAATGAGAAATTTTCCCGCGGTAAAAAGTATCCCATAGGTATGTTGACCGGGATAACCTGCTATCACCATACCAATTTTCATCAAAATCTCTCCAGTGGTTTTTCTGTGATGCGGTAACAGACAGACAGACAAAAATTCTAAAAACTATGGATTCGGCCTCTGTATCGATATCGATATCGGTCTGTGTCTATTTCAATAAGATTTTCCAAAAAATATTTAATGTTCAGATTCGGCTTAGTTACAATTTTATTATATGTAAAGATATATTATAGTACATAAAAACAATACTAGAAAATTGTAGATCTTCAAAAGGCTTACTAAAAAGTCTACGATAGTGTATCCACGATATGTTTATATCCTAAGATACGCTCACAATAACTATTTTTATCTATTTATAACGCACCTAGAGAGGCACCCGAATGAACCGAGGATAAATCGCTTGTATTAATAAAGCATGAGGCATACATGGAATATGGACCGGACCGGAAATCCGGTCGGGAGCACAACCAAGAAGCGCGCTGGGAGGCGGCTCATCTCGGAGAATGGCGTGCCATGCGGGTTGCTCCTGGTACTTCTCTGATAGCAGAGTGGACCGTCGGAGAAACCCCATGGTTGTTGTGATCTGTTTCGGCAAGCCTGCCGTTAGGGCGTCATGGTTGAGTGCGTGAGCGATCCTGCGATGTCTCATTTAGACGGAGGAGATTCTGTTGGGTTGTAGTGGGTAGTATTGGTTTTGCCGGTGAGTCCCACATTGCCACCGGAATGCAGATGGTATGTGCATTTCCTAACGTTAAAATTTAAATTTGAATTTGAATAGAGGCATTTGATCACGCTGGGGAGGTTTTCCCAGCGTGTTCTTTATAGACCACAGTATTGTGAGACATCTGCTGTCTGCTGACTAAATTCTACAACGGAACCCTAAGTAAGATCTAGCATCCCTTACGCATGCACTACAAAATCTATCTATACGCCTACAATGAGATACTAATGTATCGCAATTAGTTACTTTATGTCTGAAGGTACACAATTTACAAAAGTTGCTCCGCACAGGAATCGAACTAACGACTTTTATAATATTATAAGTTATAATTAAGTATTTCAGACGGCCCTCACTATTATAAGCTATGTATAATTATAATAATTATCAAATAAATAATACTCACTAATTCGTTGTTTTCCAAATGTCTATACAACAAACTTATTTATATAAAAACTTATATTTTATTAAGTTTTACAATGAAATGTTAGATTCAAGAATAACTAAAACTAAACGTATTTCACGATGTCAAAATGAAAACATATTGAAGGCTGGAGTGAGTGCCTCTGATAAGCTATCATTTATCATGAGATAAATTGTAAAGATCTTAATATTCAAGTACGGGATTTAGTTGTTATTGTATTACATGAAATAAATAACATGGAGTTCAGTTTGGTAATGAGATTTTATATATAGAAGGGGCGGTTAAATGTATCATTGCTAAAAACATTAAGTGATTAGGTAGATAGATAGTTTAAGAATATACAGGGTCATTTTTAATTTACTGAAAACCTTTGGGGACATACTATTTACATCATAACAATAACATCTGTAAGAAAAATAATTAATATTTCTTAAATTTTACAAAAATAAAAGTTTATTTTATTGCTCCTTCTAAACGGTAATAGTCCAGCAATTAGCAAAAGAAAGCGCGTGACCGGTGGAGGGGGAGGGGTGGAGGGGTGTAGGAAGTGGCTCTTACTCATTTAAACTTGGCCAGATGCTAGAACTTTATCGTTTAGAAGGTGCAATAAAAATATTTTTATTTTTGTATGAAAATAAAATTTTTAGAAATATTATTTTTTCTTGCAACAGATGTTGTTGTTATGATGTAAATAGTATATTCCCAAAAAGTTTTCAGGTAATTAAAAATGACCCTGTATATAAAAATGTATGGAATTAAAGGCAAATCGACTAGGATGCAGGACAGCTATTATAAAAGACACAGCATAATATGCATAATACAATATTATTCTATTTTAAAAAATCTACTTTGATCAAAATATCATTTTTTGTAAGCTCTTCTCAACATCCTCATTTAGTAATTCATGATAGTTTTATTATATTATGCGCTTAGACGAAGGTCCGTACCTCTCCCTCCGTCCTATAAAGAAATGGCTCAAGGATCTCTACAGTACCTACTACAGATCTGTTTATTTTAATAAAAAATATAAATTACAACACTTATTTATTAGTGAAATTGCTTAGCCATCGTAATAATTAGCCTTATCAAATAATCCCTATGGTTTGGTTTATACTTTCTTAGATTTATGCGAATATTTGACACTAGATTGATTCTCCATACAAACTTTCATCCTCATTTTCCCATCCCCTTATGGAATTATTTCCGGAATAAAAAATATACTATGTACTTCCCAGGGTCTCAAATTATCTTCTTATCAAATTTCATCTAAATCGGTCCTGTAGTTTTTGAGTTCATTCATTACAAACATAAAAAAATACAAATCTCTATAATAGTAGTGTAGATTTTAAATATTTTATTTAAAATGTCTTTTGTTTTTTTCGCAGATTTATTTTGATTTTCGGTCCAGCAATCATGCTCACGGGAGAAACCCATAGCTGTAAAGCATTCGAAACGTCGAAAAAAAAAGAAAAGAGTTTATTCATTAAAATCATGTTTTATTAGATACTATTGGATGTACACTAACGAAAAAATTTGTTCTTCTAAAACTAGCAATAGCAGTAATCGATATAAACGATAGCTGGGATCTTGTTACATATTTAATATTAAGATCATGTGATCTTACAGAATAATTACATACAAGTCGGACAAAGCGTGGTGTTAGAGTCATGTAGCATCTTTATTGGAATAAAATGAAGTAGTCACTAAGTTTTCGGTCTAACAAATTAAAAAAAAAAAAGGTATTATGTACGAGCTAATAAAAAATTATAATATTAATACGAAAGCATGTATGTTCGTCTTTTCGTCTTTAACAGCGTAGAGACAGTGTTAGACTTAAGGATAATTTATGCCCATCCCAAATATGTACGAGTATGTATGTATATTGCAAAAAGTTACTGAACAAATGAAATACGATGCATAACATCTAATAATTATTATAAAAATAGGTATTATTTAATAAAAAAAATGTTAGTATTCTTTTATACAATTAATAAAACAATTAGATATATAATGTCGTCAAACATCTATACTAATATTATAAAGAGACAGAGTTTGTGTTTGTTTATTTGTCTGTTTGAACGCGCTAATCTCAGTAACAACTATTCCGATTTGAAAAATTATTTTTGCATTAGAAAGCCCGTTTATCGAGGAAGGCTATAGGCTATATATCATCACGCTACTGTCCAAGGTATCGGAGCCGTAATCATAATGTCAACAAATCAGGCAAATTTCCATACATTATTGTAAAACTGATATTTATATCGGAAGTTTGAATGTGAGCGAAGCCGCGGGTTCTTCTAGTTAAATATTAATTGAACTTAAGAGAGGCCAGAATGAGGTGTTACTTGGTTACTGAAGATACAGGTTCTACAAAGTTCTAAAGAGTATACAAAGTTAGGGTTTTAATATTTAAACGCATGCATTCAAACTAAACAAGAGTCCATAAACGAGATAAAATCAATATTTTATTAACCCATTCGTTTTAAACTGTGCTTGCAACACAGATGATTTTTAATCCTAACTTTTAACGAGTTTCACAAAGAAATAACTAATTACATCTATGATTAAATTTTAGGATTCCGTACCTCAAAACGAAAAAAAAGGAATCCATATAGGATCACTTCGTCATCCTTCAGTCTGTCCGTTTGTCAAGATCATTTTCTCAGGAACGCATGGAGATATCATATTTGAAACTAATGTTAAATAGGTATTCAGGTCTGCAATCCCTTAGAGCTATGAAAAAAATCAAACTTCCAAGTCAACATAATCAAAAGATACGGCCGGATATGCCGCATTCGCAACGGAATCAAAACGTAGGTTCTAGCTTCCCGACGACTTAGAATCATGAAATTTGGCAAAGAGCAATGTCATATAGCACAAGAAGAGGGAAAAATCAGAAAACCTTAAATTTGTAGTTACATCACAAAAAAAAATGTTTAAAGCTACGGGACCCTTGATGTGCGTATCATACGCGCATTTGTCCGATTTTTTTATTTTTATATTATTTTTAGTATTCTACTTATTGTTTTATGATAAAAAAATTTACAATATAACATTAATGAGAATGTGAATGGATAGTTTCAAAATTCATCATTAAATTTTTATCCTAATTATATTTACGTTCTAGTTCTAGCGTAATATCAGACATATATGACAGATACAGGATGCGACTATACCAGTCATATAAGACAGATACAGAATTCAGAAATGGGTGATAATTTTACCGTTCTTCGGCAGTTTTAAATACATAAGTGCAACTAGTCTGTTTAGAATAATTTTATTTATTTATGGAGACCTTTTTTTAAAGCTTGCAACACTGCAGTGTATTGTCATTATTCATTTGTCAAGTTCAACTCGAAAGTCAATTTTGTCAAAGTCATGTTTCATAGCGCATGATTTGTAAATATTTCCATAGATTTTACCTAAAATTTCCGGAGTATTGTAAAAATATTGTACTGCGTGATTCAATTTCATATATACTTATATAATACATAAGCGAATTATTCATCGTTACACTTGTGCGTCTCGAACATAGTTATTAGGAACTGCGTTTTATCAAAACGCCGAGCTCTATCGATCTGTTTTTATTACGTCCATAATTTAGAGTTGTAAAATGTCCTCTAACAGTCAAGAAACTTATTTTTTTAATGCTATTCCACCATTTCGGCCCAGCAATGCTCCGGCATCACCCACGGAACAACCTCGGCAGCCGAGGAATCTCCAGGTCAGTATTATATCAACATGTGCTCTAATTTGAAATTAAATGTTATGTATTTGAATTATTGTAGCGACATTAATTTTATTAAAATAACTGATTGTGATTTAGTTATTTCCCGTTTCTAGCTAAATTAGACATTTTAGGAATGATAAAGTATAACACTCTTTTCTTTGCAGGGATTGCTTCGTTTTGCAATGGAAGCTACTAAATCAGAAGATGCACCAGGAACTTCCGATTTAAGTCCAATGGATGAAGAGGTATAGATTTGTTGTTTGTTATCTCAACTTATATTTAAAAAAAAAGGGTCAACCGTACAATCTATGACATCGAGTTGAAATTTCATATTTTTTTCACTAATAGATTTCTATTAGAAGCCTATATATAAAGTTTGCGACCGCGGAAACAAATAGTTTTGTCAAAAAAATTTTCAAGTTTCAACTTTTTATCTAATTTTACCACATTTATACACACACTTATCGATGTTTTTCACTAAGTTCGTTACAATATTCTATGTTCTGAGTTATTATCAATCATTATTGTAGTTAAATACATAATTTAATCGTTAAAATCTTGATTTATTTGTACGTAATAACAAATTTAACACTAAAACTGACATTTCAAAATGACGTCGCTTTTCATATTTAGCTAATTCTGACATTGACATATCACATAACCAATATACTATGTACCAGTTTATTTGCAATTTGCAATTGTTTTCTTATTTCCACGCAGGAAAGCTTTATCAAAATACGTTTAGGTTATTTTTTGGCAGAAGCCTTTCTTTCTAGGTTGGTTAGGTTAGAACAGTTCCCCCCCAACGTGCGTTCACCTTGTCGTGGTGGGGGGCTCAGTAGTAGTAGCGAAGCTAGAAAAGTACAGGGAGGTTGCCCACTTCGGTGGGCGGTGGGAGGTGGCCCTCTTCGAGGGGCGGTGTACCTTGCGGGTTGCTCCTGGTACTTCTCTGATAGCAGAGTGGACCTTGGAGCAACCCCATGGTTGTGGTGGTCTGTGTTGTGCGTCGTAGTTGAATGCGTAAGCGATCCTGCGACGCCCCATTATGACGGGGGAAGGTTTTGTTGGGTTTTAGTGGGTAGTACTGGCTGTATTACGCCGGTGAGTCCCACACGTCGTGCGTAAATGCATTTCCCAACGTTAAAAAAAAAAAAGGTTAGAACAGTTAAAACAACGCACGAGCCGAGCGAGCGAAACGAGCGTGCCGCGGTAGCGGCCGGCGAGTGCCAGAACGACTAGAACTTTTAGAACTTTTTTTATAATCCGTAGCCACCTTTTCCGGTACCTATTATTAATAGTTAAATTATATAAAAGTTGTCTTAAAACTGTCACCAATTGTGTTCAGGTAGTTATCCTAGTTGAAATATAAAACAATGTAAATTGAACCTTAAGTGCAATGCCTAAAGTTGTTTTCACAATAATTTAACCTCAAAAATTGAAATTTTAAAAATTAAATATCTCGAAAACTACTAGCCTCCGCGGTTTTCCCTTTTATAGGGGAGTCCCTCTCACCCCTCCCCTCCTCCCCCACCCTCTCTCCTCCCTTAAATCGATGTCATAGATTGTACAGTTCAACCAAAAAAAATAGCATTATTAAAATTAATTTATGTAAAATTAATTAAATAATTTATGATGATGACAGTTTACACTTGTAGAATCATAGGTCATGTATGTGTGACACTTGAATAAAAACATGCAAAAAATTACTTTATTCAGGAATGCAGATTGAAATGTCTTGGATTAAATTAAACAACTGCTTAGGTTCTTACTGGGTCTGTTTAGTAATTTTGTATTCTTCTCTAATTTACAATTTATATTTAACTAGTAACATTTTAACGTATAGTATAGAAAACTCAGAGATGAGATATTTTCCTGCAGTGAAAAGTATCCTATATGTTGACTCAGATAACCAGCTATCATCATTCCAAATTTCATCAAAATATGTCCAGTGGTTTTCTTGTGATGTGTTCCCAGACAGACAAACATTCTTAAAACTATATATATATTCAGCCTCTGTATTGACAATTATGACTATTTTAATAAGATTTTCCAAAAAATATTTAATGTACAGATTCCACTCGGTTACAATTTTATTATATGTATAGATATATATTATTGGAAATTTTGCTAATCAAAAAGTATTTGATGTATGCAACATTACAGAGGAGGAAATTCTTAGAAGAAGCACTAAAAGCTATGTCAGTGGATGTTGCTGAAATGTTGCAAGATGCTATAAAATTACTTAAAGACGTTAGTGTTATGAACATGATTAAACGCGGGGAAGAGATTCCAGATAATATTAATGGAAGGTTAAACCAAATCATGGATTATGTTGATGACATAGACGTGGCTAATGGTAAGCATTCTTGTATTCAGGCCTTTTTAATGCCTCCCTTCAATACGAGGGAGAACAGGTCATAGTCCACCACACTGGCCATGGCGGGTTGGCAGACTTCACACATCTTTTCTTTGTCTTTCACTATTGATCTTTTGATCTTTTCCTTCACTGTAAGGGAAGTCGTAATCTTGTTGAAATACCTGTTAATAGTAAGTATAGTAACTTATCTACGGTACTTATATTTATTTCTTTATTCTTTTAAGATCATAAGATGTGGTACTTTAGTTTAGTTTTTAATAAGGTGAAAGATTTATGCAATATAATATTATAAAATTATTTTAACAAGCTATTTACTCTTACTATACTAAGGTGTGCCCCAAACTTGAATGGACTAACAACTCATAAAAGACAAATGTCCAAAGGTTTTTTTGCGTGGTGCAAAAGTAGGCATATACAGAAGAACCCATTAGAGTTTCATCACAATCAGATCAATGGTTTTGCAATGCTTTGAGGACATGCAAACCATGCAAATTTTCATTTTTATTTATTATCATCATCAATCAAAAAAGTACTAGATACACAATCCCATGTAAAACTTCTCTTAAAACTGTCCAATTGTGTTTAGGTAATTATTCCAGTTAAAATAAACATCCAGCAATGTAAATTTGTTCCTTAAATGCAATGATTAAAGTTAATTTCACAAAAAAAAAAAAACTTGCTCAAATGTTTAAATTAGCGATCATTCAGAGGGAATATTTTTTGTCGCTGATTGTTAATTTAGTACTTTTTTGATCTATGAGGATCATGGAAGAATATAATAATATGAAAAATATTAAGATTCTTAAAACATTGTAAATTAAAAAATAATATTATGTTTCATAATATGTACATGATTGTAGTTGTAGTGTGTATTCACAGATTTCAAGAAAATTGGCGGCTTTGCTATTTTCCCAGTATGCTTTGGCTGTGATAATGATGAGGTCAGATCAAAAACCAGCAGCATAATTGGCACAATATGCCAAAATAACCCACCATGCCAAACCAAAGCTATAGAATGTGGTCTGTTGGGTCTCCTGATCCATTTGGCAAATTCTGCATTGGATTCAAATACAAATAGTAACCTGTTTGGAAAATATTTGTATGGCATTTCAGGTAACTCAACCATGTTGTTGAATATATTTTGCCTTCATTTGTATTGTGGTGAGCTTCTTGATACTTAACATTTGTTTTATTTCAATCGGCTCATAAATAAAAAAGTTATGTGAATTTAAAGAATCACTCATGGACGTACCCGAGCTAAGTGATAAATAAAATTCAAATGTAAACATTATTTTGCTATTTACAGGAATAATCCGTGGATTTGATCCGGCCATCAAACAGTTCATAGAACTAGAGGGGTTGGAGTTGCTGATGAAAGCTCTGCAAGGCTCCAACATGACGGCTAAAACAAGGGCTGCTTTTATTGTACAGCATTTGTGTCCAACTAACTCTGATGTAAAAGGTATTATGCAAGATTGTCTATCCCTGTTATATCTCTGTCGATAATATGTTTTTGTTGTGGTTATGTGCATATTGATACCATTAGAATTTTAGAAGTGCCAAATCAGATATTATTTATTAATTGAAACTGCCTTCTAGACCTAGTTTACAAGTTTTTGTAGTTTCTTATTATAAAGTGTTTGTTTCGGTCGTTTTTCAGAAAGTAGAACTAACAATTTTAGTGGTATTTTTTTTTATTAAAAGCATATCTTATTGTAAAGGACGATGGTATAATATAACCGTTTTTTTTTTAATTTTTAAATTAATTATAGCGTGATTAATTATTAAAGTTTCGTAATTTGTTTTAAAGTCTTATTTTTACATCCATTGGCACTGCGAGCAATAATTATTTACATTTTGATATACTTTGTTTATTATCAAAACATATGACGCGTATCGCTAGTCTGCGCCAGACTGTGTAGACACGTCACACCTCACATGTCACGAATGCAAAAAGTAAATATACAAACTTTTTACTATTTATACAATGGTAATATTGTAAAATTTATTTTCAGATTTCTTCATCAAGCAAAATTTAGTGAAGATTGCCGCAGAGGAAATACACGCTGGTCAAAATGAGGCCACCGAGCACTTACTGAGCATGCTTCAGAGCCTGTTGGCGAGTAACGATCCAAAAATTATGGAGCAATGCAACAATCTCGAGTTGAACTTCAAAGGCATTATACAAAATCACCTAATGCTAGTCGAGAAGGATGACACTTATATGGAAGAAAGGGATTATTGCAAAACCATCTTGACACTATTGGACAAATATTCGCAGTATGACCTCAACGAAGAAGTTGATAGGTAAACATTTTATATGTTATATTCTGGAGGGGCTTAAAAACCTAATGTAATTTATCTCTTTTTATTGTTTTAATCTTTATTAGGAAGATTTACATGTATGTATGTATGTTTGTTTGTTAAAGTACGGCTTTAATGATTTTTTGCATTTCGCAAAGCATTTTTATTTTCTAAATGTGATTGATGTATATGATGAGTGTAATTAAATATTGTAAAAGTTAATGTACCTAGCTAACTGCACCTCATGTCATTGTTTCTTAAATAAAGAAATTACATAATAATTAATTTGTTTTCATTTAAAATTCCACTATTTTTACAGCTTAGATCTAATTTATATTAATGCTTTTAATTTCTGATTTTTGAGGAACTATCTACACTACCATATTGTTTAACACTCACTTGGTACAAGCACAGACTGCATAATACTATACTAGTACAGATGGCTCACCTCATACAAAGGAATTGGTCAGCGCTAATTCTAGCTATTCTTCAGGTTATTTTTATTTGTTTGAATATATTATAGATGTTGATTCGCAAATAGTTAAACTGTTTTATTTCATAAATATGTGCAAAGTAACATGGCAAAATTTGTAAAATTCATCCTGCATTCGAATAAAAATGTTTCAGTCATTCTAACTATTTTTAACCGTGTTTAACAATTCATAAAATATAAAAGCGCCATCTTTTAATATACGTTATAAACCCATCTGTCTGATTGCTCATATTAAATAATATCAGTAAAATCGTATAGTATTGTATGATCTGTGGTAAAATTACGCTAATTTGATTCACGAGCGCATTGTTTCATTTCATTTTACTTAGAATAATTTTTAAAACAACTATACTCCTTTTATGAATCATTTTTTTATCTTTTCTTAATTAAACACAACTTTAATAAGAAATCGATTAATGTAACAATTTTCTATTGACATTTGTTTGAACTAATTTCTCTTCGTGATGAGACCCCGTGATCGGTGCAGAATACACGAATAAAAAACCTTGGTAAACAAGTAATGTAAATAACGGCAACTATGAATTCACTTAATATAATATAAACGTATTACCCAACGGCTGATATTTCAGTAATTAATCACTAAAAGTATAAAAAATGGACTTAAGAAATTGCGTATCTTTATGGCCGGTTTACACGTGATAAGTCGTTTAGTCGTCAACTAAATTTTAACTTAATTTTAAGTGACTTATCTGTCCAAACGTGTTTAGTAGTTAAGTAGATAAGCTCTTTAGTTGTCTTCTCTATTCTACGTGACATTGGCGAAGTAATCTGTGTTCAATAAAAGAATTGAATTGAAGCTCTTTATTTCATTCAAGATTTATTTATTTATTTATTTGCAAGATATGCCAACAATACATTGTACCTACATTCTAAATTATTATATTATAAGATTACTTATTCTAGTACAAGCATTAATTATAGGCATACACAGCATTAATTACATTTCCGGCTTTAAAACAATAATATATATAATGTTAAATACAATTTCTAATAAATATTTATAATAGATGAAATTAAATTAAAGAATTACACATATTAACTACTATAATTAAGTAATCATAATATAAATTAATGTTAAAATTAGAATAATATGAACAATAAAAATAATTATTAATATTTATAATTTGAAACAACTATACTTATAAAATTATATAATTATATTAGGTCAGTCATACAAATATATATATTTTTTGAAATCGTAAATTCTGTGCTTAAATTTGTTTTAAGCGAGATAATTCATGCTTTTTACGTTCCATAAGCATTATTTTTTTAAATATGCTTCTTAACAAAAAATAACGAGAAAAATTTAGCTCGTCATTACTTATGCGTTTTACTAAACTACTTATGCGTTTGTAACCATCCATTTTTGTAACTAAACAAGTGTCCAAACGTGTTAAGTGACAAGCCCCGCCCACCAACTAAACCGAAAAAATAGGGAACATTCTAATTTAGTAGATAAGTAGTTAACTTAATTTTAACTTGCAACTTGCTACTAAATTGTCTGTTTACACGCAAGTAATCACTTAAAATTAAGTTAAAATTTAGTTAACTACTAAACGACTTGACACGTGTAAACCGGCCATTAGAGTGTCTTTTAATGGCAGATCAATTTTCTTAAAGTAATTTGTTAAACAAACCTTCATTGAAATTCAAATATAGTTTATTTAATTTTATTGAAGAGCTTTAATAATTGCGTACACCTTGCCCTATAACGATCTATTCACTTTTTGAAGGCGAAAGCTAGCATTACCAGTTTATTCTTATTTCACATTAAAAATATTCACATTAAGAATGATTTTCAATTTCATACAATTTTCAACCCCTATTTTACCCACTTATGGGATGAATTTCAAAAAATCCTTTCTTAACGGATGCCTACGCCATATAAGGAATACGTCCTCCAAATTTCTCGTTTCTACGACCAGCGGTTTAGGTTGTGTGTTGATCTATCAGCTAGTCAGGACCACCTCCGGATGTACCTCTCCTTCTCAATTCTTCCTTCAGCTGGTCTAACTTCCAGGTACATTACATTGCACAGTTAAAATGCGAACACAATACTAGCAAAAAAAACCTGGTATATAAGAGATATCACAATAAATTGCTTAACCTCAGACTAAATGTAAATAGGCCATACGTGTGCCGCCCTCCTGTCGAGATTATCTTTAAAATTTTAAAGTCAATGATGTTCAATGTCAATTACCTATTATTTATTAGATATTATTTGTCAGTGTCAAATAAGTAATGGATAGTGGTTAATGGTTATTTATATCTATAATTAAATTTATTAGTTTGTTTTAAATTGTTACTAACTAAGGAGTAAGGACTTCATTAAAGATATTTAACGTTACGTACATTTTATTTTAGTTTGTTTACATATGTGAGTTGTTACCGTTTATCCCTGTACTACTGCGTACTAATGATTTGTTGACTTAAGCATTCTAATCAGCCATGATATAAAAATACATAACAAAAACATTATTTAAATGATAGTTTATCGATGAAGCGTGCATTTAGTGTATTTACGACTCTTCTCCACGATCACACGCCGCTATCGGCATCAAGCATGGCGAATTTAATTAACGATTTTAAGGAGTGGAAGTTAAAAGATCCGCCAAATTACTCAGAGTTACCAATAGATGCAAATCCTGAATATAATGTGCCCGTTGCTGTAAAGAACGCTGTGTTTTCTAAGGTAAATTTGTGTACATGTACTTAAAATTATTATCTCTATGACACTTATAAGAGTCACTTCCTGATACTAAAACTTTGAATTTGTATAAAATGATTATTACATCATTCTTTTTTATATTTACAGGTCCCAACAGAACCTCTGACTGGAAAACTTCACCTTGTTTGTGCTTCAAAAGAAGCATTAACAGATATTTTAGATATAGACCCCAAAGTGGCAGAATCTGAGACATTTATTGATTTTGTCGCAGGAAAATATTTACCAAAAGGTGGATTGAGTGTTTCTCACAGGTAATATATAATTTTAACAAATATGTAGATAAACTAAAGTTATAGTTATTTTTATGTTGTTCTTAGTCTCAGATCGTCGTAGAGATTTACAGCCTCTTTCATATACAGTTAGATTTTAATGTTTTATTTCTTATTAATTGATATAGAATATTATGCATTGCATTATTTTAAATACTGGATATTGCATATTTGGCCTAAAATCCTATATTAATACATTTTTTCTGTAATTTTAAAAATTATTTTCTTGTAAGATTTTTGATTTTATTGAGAAATTAATAGTTTATATAGTTTTATAATGCATATTTGGACAACTTTTAGAAATATTCAAGCCTAATCCAGTTTCTATTTATGTCTAATATTCTAGATATGGGGGATATCAATTTGGATTTTGGGCGGACCAACTCGGAGATGGAAGAGCGCATATACTTGGTGAATATATTAATAGGTGAGAACTTAAACAATTTGTAATTGTTTTTGTATTACTGTCTGAAATAGAGTTTTAAGATTACTAGACTACTAAGAAGCAAGTAGACATGTTTGTGCATAAACTTGTTTTTTATAATATTTTGCATGATTTTTTCCAACATAACTATGTTGGAATATTAACTTATGTATGATATTTGTGAACTCACAAATATCATCACACCAGTAATTTATTTTGAGAAATCTATACATATATAGTATTCTAACCAAGTCAAATCTGCACATTAAATATTTTTTTGGAAAATCTTATTGAACTAGTCATTATTATGGGTACAGAGGGCAAATATATAGTTTTGAGAATATTAGTCTGTCTGTCTGAGAATGCATCACGAGAAAACCACTGGACAGATTTTGATGAAATTTAGTATGATGGTAGCTGGTTATCCGGGTCAACATATAGGATTTTACTGCAGGAAAATATCTCATCTCTGAGAAATTTATACTAAATGTTAAAAGTTAAAATGTGATAGTGTAATTCATAAATGTAATCTTTCTTTCATGAAAATTATATTCATTACAACTATAAGAAAATCTGTACAGTAGTTTCTGAGATTAGCCAGAACAAAAAAACCCTGCACATTGAGATACTTTAATTTATGATGTTATCCAAATTTTTCAGTAAGGGTGAATCCTGGCAACCCCAGCTGAAAGGTTCAGGAGAAACTCCGTACTCTCGCTTCGGAGACGGTCGCGCAGTTCTACGCTCGTCTATACGAGAGATGATTGCGAGTGAAGCCTGTCACCACTTAGGCATTCCTACAACACAGGCTGGTGCTTTGGTAGGTAAGATGGTTTTGCGTGTATGTATACATATCTGCATCATATATATAAATATATATATTTATCTATTAGTTTTTACTGTCTATACAATAAGTGTTTACTGCTAAAGCAGATTTCAGATATAGATTATAGTCTAGAATAGCGCATGGGTTACTTTTATCCCGGAAAAATGTACGGTTTCCGTGGGATAGATTTGTTTTTGTTTGTCACTAGGCACGAATCCGAACGAAGCGAGGGTGAGTTGCTAGTTTATAAATATTTTACAAAAATAATCAATTAAGTTGGAAATAATTTCGTTTCTTCTTGGGTTTCTCAAGCAGAGCTAGGGTAAGCCACCTTTGTTTTCAAGGGTAAGCCACTAGCTTAACTTTATTTTATTACTTTTCCAAGTAAGCGATGAACACAAAGTATGGAGGGACAAGACATACAGTGGGAGAGCGAGACAGGAGCGCGCGGCCGTCGTGCTGCGGCTAGCGCCGGCTTGGTACAGGCTCGGTTCCTTCGAGATATTGTACAAGAGAAATGAGCCAGATGTTATGAGAATGTTGGCGGATTTTGTTATTAAGGTATGTTTTATTGCTAATATAATGGATAGTAAATTTATTCAAGTATCCTTATTCAAATATCGTAGAGAATGGACTGAGTTATACTGTCTTGAAATGTATAACTCTCTAAAAAGAGAGACAATGAACGAGCGGCCAATATCTTTCTCTTTTCCAATTTGAATTTATAAAAAAATAGATCTTGAAAAATGATTGATTCCCCATACAAACTTCCACTGCCCTTTTCATCCCTAAGGATGGTTTCTGGTATAAAAACTATTCTATGTTCTTCCCAGGATCTCAAAATATCTCCATACAAAATTTCATCAAAATCGGTGCAATGGGCTTAGCGTGAAAAGGTAATAAATCTGAATAGATAGATTTGTATATTTGAGAAAACCAAGCAAGTTCTCGAAAGACATGCTCAGTCCGCCCGCACTTGGCCAGCGTGGTGGACTATGACCTGATCCTTCTAGTATTGAAGGGATGCCCACCCCCAGCAGTGGGACATTAAAAAGAGCTGAATACATATAAATAATATTATTATTTTCAGCATTATTTCCCTGATGTAGATTCAAAGTCAGATGACCGGTACGTCCAATGGTTTTCTGAAGTGGCTCATAAGAACTTGGATATGGTGGCTACGTGGCAAGGTATTATTCTGCTAATTTTAAACACCCTTTTTTTGTATAAACAAAGGTTTTAAAGTTAATATGAAATATAAAAATCCTACTAATATTATAAATGCGAAAATTTGTGAGGATGTATTGATGTATAGATGATGTGTAGATGCTTGTTACTCTTTGACGTAAAAACTACTGAATGGATTTTAATGAAACTTTACAATAATATAGCTCATGCGAGCACATCAGGATAACACATAGGCTACTTTTTATCCCGGAAAAAATGTACGGATCCCAGGGGAAAATTTGTTTTTGTTTTTCTACAGGGGAAGTGAACCACTAATATAGCATAAAACGATCAAGTCTTCACAGATAATAAGAACACATAATTTAGGATTATGGGATTGTTTTGTAAAATTATTTTTAATTAGACAAAGGAATACAAATAGAATATCCAAATTTTATATTATTTTATATTATTATCACACAAATTTTAGAGTATAATAGTAAAAAAATGTTTTAATATTATATTTATTTATTTTACAGGTCTAGGTTTTACACATGGTGTTCTAAACACAGATAACATAAGTGTCCTCGGTCTCACCATAGACTATGGTCCGTACGGCTTCATAGATCACTACTATGAACATTATGTGCCGAACTCTTCTGATGACATGGGAAGATATGCATTTAACAAACAACCTGATGTGAGTGTTGCTTGTACACAATCCCATGGAAAAGTTCTCTTAAAACCGTCACCAATTGTGTTTATTATTCTAATTGAAATATATATACGGCAATGTAAATTGAACCTTAAATGCAAAGCTTAAGGTGTTTTAACAAAAAAATAATAATTAAAAGCGCACTCAAATGTTCAAGTTTCTGCTCTATAATATCTCGTGCGATGGCTAGTTTCAGCAGCCAGATCGTATAATTGGATACAAGAATTCTATAATATGGTTATTTCATGTAGATATATTTCATTTTAAGTTATTACGTATTTTTTTATTAATTTTTTTTTATTCTTCACATACTATTTCTCAACACTTTTGTTAATTAGTATAATAAAATTTGATTTAGTATAATTTGAGTGATAAAATGAGTTGACTCTACTGGCCCTGAGTCTCAGTGAGACTGGCCGGTGTGGTCGTGGAAGAGAGAATATTTTAAAACATTATTTCTTTTGCTTCATGTTTAGTTCTATGACAATATGTCCGTATTATTGCCTAGTTTAATAATAAGTAATTCTATATTTTTTTATTTCTAGATAATTCTATGGAATTTGGAGAAGTTTGTGGAAGCTTTGCAGCCAATTCTATCAGAAAGTAATAAACAGAAGATCAAGGATATTATTGCTACATTAAGAGGATATGTGCAGGATAAAATTTTGTAAGCATACACATATATAATTATGGTTATTTTCAAATGCCTCAATGTGTCATTAGTTTCACCTATATTCTATACATATAATAAAATTTTAACTGAGTCGAATCTGTACATTAATTTTTTTTTTCTTTTTTTTTTTTTTAATCTTTATTTGAAGGACTTGTTCACATAACAAAAAGCGAACATGTCGTCCTTGTAAATTTTACACATGGACAAATAACGAGTAAATACTTAATTATAAATAAAATTATGCGCAGAGTAAAGAATACATAATATAGAAAAGATTCTACTAGTTTAGCGGACATAGCAATATTATACTAATTTAATATTATTACAGATACAAATAACAATAATTATGTACCGTCTTGACTAGATCTAACACGTAAGCCAACCTTGGTTAATTTATACAAAGCTTTGGCATGATCTGAACAAGGATTTGCTAACATTATGTTACAGCTACCAATTTGTTTTAATTCGTGATAATTGTTAACAAATATATTTCTCCTCATGCGTTCGTTCCGAGTACATTCCACTAAAATATGATACACATCTTCGGTTTTCCCACATTTAGTGCAATTCGGTGATACGGCTTTATTCATCTTAAACGCGAAATAATTCAGTGGAATATGCCCGGAACGCACTCTTAACCCTGTCACAATAGAATTTCTGTCTAATCTACAAGACTCAAACCAAGGCAAAGAATACGGGTCAGATCTCAAGATCCTATACCAAATCCCTTTATTTACCGATGTATTTTGAAAGTGTGCGGTCCACAACTTATATACATATTTTTTAAGCAATACTACGATGTCATTAATAGAAGGTAACACGCTGAGTGGTATACCTTTTGATACTGCGTCATTCGCTAATCTATCCGCACGTTCATTACCTGCCAATCCTATATGAGATGGAATCCATTGAAATGTTACCCTCTTATTTGATGCTTCCAGCTTACAAATAGCCTTCAATATCTTATATGCTATCGGAGCTCCTCGAAAAGTCGAGGTGCACCGAGCAATATGTTGGAGCGCGCTTTTGGAGTCCGTAAAGATAACAAAATTTTTGAAATTACTAATACTGCTGATATACTCCAAAGCCTCATACAAGGCAAACAACTCAACATACATAATAGAAATTATTGATTCAATTTTAAATTCGATATCAGTATGAGATTGAGGGTCGTAAATAGCTGCTCCGATACCTTTTTTGCATTTAGAACCATCTGTGTATATTTTATAAAAATTCCTATATTCAATATTAATCATTTCCAGACTATTGCTTTTTAAAACCGTAGCATCTACTAACCGTTTTGACTGTCCAATGTTATCTATAGAGCAAAATATCTTATTATCTAAATTAATATTTTGTACCCATGTGTCAAGACAAAACATTTACAATTTTCTAGAAGATCGAAAAGGGTAACATTTCAATATTCCATGGACTGACGCTAAGACCGGTTTCTTTTTATTCGCCCAATAATTCGAATTATTGCATTGTACCGACATCTGACCGATTACATCAATATTTCCATTATCTTGTAAAGCACGACTCTTCAACCAATACTTTCCTCCTAGGTACATTCTACGAATGTGAAGTGGTTGAAGGGCTAGCTCACTTTCCATTACGTGTATTGGGGTACTCTTGATGAACCCCCCAATCACACGCATACACTGATTTTGAACCTTATCAAGTTTATAAAGATGGGATTTAACACTTGTATCATATATAAAGCTTGCATAGTACATTCTACTACGTATAACCGAAATATATAATCTCCTTAAATGTTTAGGATGTAAGCCCCAGTCAGTGCCAGCTAATATTTTAAGAATATTCAAATATTTTTGAGTCCTGTCAGTAATTTCGTTTATATGCTTCCCCCATTTTAAAGACCTATCTAACCAAACCCCTAAATACTTAACACTTTCTACTAATTGAATTCGAGTTACTTTTAAGTTGATGTTTACTTCCTGTCTATTAATCCCTTTCCGAAACAAACATATTTTAGTTTTTCTTTCAGATATCTCTAAGCCAAGACCTTCAACCAGTTCACACAATTTATTAAGAGCTAACTGCAACTGTACACATCCCTCTTCTATATACTTATATGATCCGTATAGTACGAAATCATGAGCGTATTGAGAAATATGTGTGTTAACAATATCATGGCAAATATCCCTAATAAGTACATTGAATAAGATTGGAGATAAAGGGTCTCCTTGTGCAAGTCCACGATTTGTTGATCTGGTAAGGCTACCGGAAACTGAGTAATTTTTACTTAATTTTCTAGCACTCAAAAACTCCAATAAGTAATAACAGAACTTAGACCCTATCCCAAGCCTATCCAACGCATTTAGTAACACTATTATATCAACATTGTTATAGGCGCTGTCAATATCCACAAAACAGCCTAAGGTTATTAAATTATTAGCAAACCCCAATTGAATTTGAGACACTAATCTAGTAAGACTATCTAGACATGAACGACCTCTTCTAAAACCTACAGTATTTTTCGAAAAGCTATCATTAGATTCTAAGTACCATTCCAATCGATTTTTTAAGATAGTGTGAAAAATTTTACAGGGACACGATAAGAGAGCTATAGGTCTTACTTCAGGAATAGATTGTGTAGAGGAGCTTTCTTTTGGTATGGGAACAATTTTAGCTTGTCTCCATTGAAATGGTACAAATCCCGATACAAGAAACATGTTATAAATCTTGACTAATATATGCTTTCCATTCACCGGGAGGTGTTTCAACATAAAAAAGGATACAGAATCGTCACCTGGGGCCGTATCTTTGGCTTTAATAGCACGATTAAACTCCTGAATTGTAATGGAACTCTCCAAGGTTGTATTAACAGAAGTAAATTTTGGTTTTCTTGAAGAAGTATAATCAGGCGTCAGGCTGCGTAATAATCTATTGGCTGTATCCTCATCGATGTATGTCTTTGGTAATCGATATCCCTTAATCCATCTCATTCGGCGCAGCATCTCAACGGTTGAAATGGTTTCATTAATAGTGTTGCAAAACTGTCTCCAAGCTTTACGTTTGGCTCTGCGTATAATCTTTTATTTTACTCGACTTTTATTTGAAGTAAATCCAAATTATTTGGCGTAGGGTTCTTTCTAAAAGTAACCAACGCAAGTCTTTTTTTCTGCAACTGCCCTTGATATGTCTGAATTCCAATACGGTTTCGGTACAAATTTCTGTAGACGTAAAGGATCTGTACACATTCTTACCGTGGGGATATATCTATCTGCCGCCGAATTAACTGCATTAATAAATTGGTTATAAGCTTCCTGAGGATCACTTGCCAAGACCAAAACAGAGAATATTGCATGTAGGGTGCGCCTATATTCCTCCCACTTTGCTTTTTTGAAGTTCCTTTTTTTATTATCAGCGTCAGTCGCACAGCAATTAGCGGTTGTAAATTTAATAATAAGGTGGTCACTTCCTAAAGATTCATTAAGAACCTTCCAAATGAAATTCAACGCAATGTCATTAGTTACGAAGGTAACATCCGGGGAAGATACCATTGACTAACTTAAGCCGAGTTGTAGAGCCATCATTCAGGTTAACATAATCTTTGTCAACAATCGTATCAAACAGCTGCGCTCCTCTTACATCTGTTTTGTACGACCAGTTAAAGTGGTGATCATTAAAATCCCCAGCAATAATAGTTTTATTATTATGTAAACTAAACACTGAGTCCCAATCATTAGCTACTGTATGCACAGATGATGGGCAGTATACAGAAATAATGAACTCTAAGTTAGAACAGTTCAATAGTTTAATTTCAACGAGTTGAATCCCTGGATTCGCACACTGTATCTGACGTGCCTGAAACATTATTGAGTTATGAATAACAATGGCCACCCCACCGTATCCATCGCCGCGATCCTGACGAACAATATGATAGCCACTTATCCTTATGCTCTTGTTTGGATCAAGCCATGTCTCGCTCAAAATAGCAATATGATTTTTTTCCTGTGATAAAAACTGTTCAAACTCCACTATCTTCGGATGAATACTTTAACAATTCCATTGTATGATGTTAACTTGTGTGGCCATGTTTAAATAAGTTTTTAAAAACGGACATCTCAGACACCCACTCCGTGACAAAATATAACAACCAATCATAAACAACTTCTCCACACATTACTTTCTTCCCAAAGTTAATGTTTTTCATGAAAATTATCTCCTGGATCCTCAAAAGTAAACCTTGAACATCAGTTTTCTCACATTCTTCCTTGTTTTCATTCCCCTGTACTTCTTCTTCTACGAAATCTGACTGTATTCTACTCTCATCTTCCACTGAAACATCTTTTCGCTTATCACACTTTTTCTTGGACTTCTTAGCAATTCTATCGCTTGTCGTACTACTCTTGTTATTACTTTGTTCTTTAGGCAAACTCGATGCATTTCCTACCACCTCAGCATATGACGGTCCATCACCTGTCGTCATTGGAATGACGTTACATAAGCCTTCATTGGGTGCACTCACAGTATCCGTCTCGAATTGAGGAGAAGGAGGGACATATAGAGTAAAAGCCATTTTATATGTGCAGTTAAATTCGGCCATCAGTTCTCGGATTCTCCTTTCCTTCTTATAAACCGGGCAAACCTTCGCCAGTGCCATATGATTGCCCTTGCAGTTGACGCACTTAAAAGATGTCGTCTCACAATTGTTATGCATTTGACCACATTTAGGGCAAATAGTTTTCGTTCGAGAGCATTCCTTGTGGTTGTGACCAAATTTCCAGCATTTTGAGCACTGAGACACGGGAAATATAAATGGATTCACCTTTATTCTAGTGCCATATGTGAATATATAAGCAGGTAGGGAGGAGCCCTTGAAGCAAACCCGTACACATTCGCTGTCTTCAAAAGTACCACTATCAAAATTACGCCTTTTCAATCTTTTTACATTTAAAATTGGTATACTGCAACTTAAATCCCGTAAAATTTCATTCTCCTCCAGATCTAGATCGATATCCCTAATAACGCCATATGAGACGCCGACTTCGAAAGTTTTTTGGCACTTATATTTCTTATCAATAAAATATTTGTTATTAATTAAATCATCTGCACTCTCAAAATTGTTGAATTTTATCAAAACTTTGTAGGCGTTTACATATTTTATTCTCGTTATATTTTTAATGTTTTCGTTCTTAAGTAGACGGGCCGACCCTATTTGCTTAGGTAATTTTTCTTTTCTAGACACCTTGCTTATTTCAATTTGTTCTTCTGGGATGGGGGTAGTATCATAATTATTGTTACTCCGCGCCATAACTTTTCCTTGTCTCTCAACCTCCGCCCATACCTCTTCTGTATCTATGTCACGACTTCTTTTATCCGCTCGATTACTACAGCTACCCGCTTCCAATTCCGTAAAATTTTCTATGTTAGTCTCCACATTCTCCTCGACCACACTACACATATCACTATTTTGAGATTCAGCCATAATCTATAGCTAAACAACGCATTGCAATTACTTATACAAATAAATAAGTTCGAGCGTACTTATTATACAAAAACTGGTTACGTAAACGACCTGCCACAGCAAGCGCGCGTGAGCCTATGAATTTTTTTTTCGAAAACCTTATTGAAATAGTCATTATTATCTATACAGACACTAAATCTGGTTTTTAGAATTTTTGTCTGTCTCTATTACAGCATCACGGAAAAACCACTGGAGGGATTTTGATGAAATTGAGTATAATGATAGCTGGTATAGTATAATGTAGGAAATCAATTATAATAAAAGGGAAAGTTTAACAACGTTTATTGCCCGGTAATACTTTTTACAGTGACATAGAACATGACAAATTTAAATAGAAAAATAAATAGTAGGCACACAAGTTAACAAAGAGGTTGGAACTATTCATATATAAAATTACAATTAAATATTTTATGTTTACTATTCCAACATCCTCCCTTAAACATAAATCAACCCCATCTTGGAAGCACAATAATTCAATTTTGAATATGGCGTTGCTTTGGTGAGTGCATCAGCTACCATCATGTCTGTATATACTTCATATCAATGAACCCTCCAATAACTTTATCACGTACATAGTGGTGCCTCACATCAATATGTTTAGTCCTTGGATGGTAGCCATCGGAGCCTGAAAGTTTTATAGAACTTTGATTATCACTGTAGATGATCATTGCTTCATTCTTGAGCAAAGGCCAAAAACTTTCTTGAAGTTGTTTCAGCCACATAGCCTCTTGTACACATGAAGACAAAGACATATACTCTGCTTCGGTTGTAGACAGAGCAACAGTAGGCTGGCGTTTAGAATTCCAGCTGATTGTTCCTCCCTGAAACAGGAATACGTAGCCAGTACAGGAACGTCTGTCATCCTCCGAGTTTGCCCAGCTTCAGGGCTATCCAGTGTGGCATTTCAGGTTTGTTATTGTATTTACTTAACATATTTATAACAAAACTTATATCTGGCCTGGTAATTTGTGATATATACAATAAGCAACCAATAATTTCTTGATAAGGGATTTCATGTAAGATACATGATTCTTCAGATTTTTCTTTAAATTTTGTATTAGCATCTATTGGAGTCTTAACACTTTTACAATCTGACATCCCATATTTATGTAACACTTCTTGTATATATTTCTTTTGATCTAAATATATAACTCCTTTCTTCCTGTCTCTCTCTATATGTATACCAATACAATATTTTATATCTCCCAGGTCCTTTATTTTAAATTGTTTTTGAAGTTCTTCCTTAACATATTTTTTTGTATCCATATTATTTGTAAATAAAATTAGGTCATCAACATATACAGCTAAAAAAAACATGTTATTGTTGTCCACAATTTTATAATAGATACAAGGATCTAACTTGTTCTGTGATAGACTCATTCCTTTCAGCGTAGAACTAAGCTTCTTGTTCCATTGCCTACTGGCCTGTTTCAATCCATATAGAGATTTTCTCAGTCGACATACTTGTTTACCGTTGTCATACAGTGGTGGTTGTAACATATATATCTCCTCCTCCATGTCGCCTTGAAAAAAGGCTGATACGGCGTCCATTTGACAAATATCCAAATCAAATTTAACTGCCAAAGCAAGCAAATATATCAAAGAAGCATACCTTACAACCGGTGAAAATACTTCCGTGTAATCTATCCCAGGTTTTTGTGAACAACCTTTAATCACAAGCCGTGCTTTATACTTAACTATTTCCCCATTTTCATTAGTCTTCCTCTTGAAAACCCATTTGCATGGTAAAGGACGTTTGTTATCTGGAAGAGTAGTAATTTCCCAAGTATTATTTTCTAATAAGGACTGATACTCCTCGTCGATTGCTGATTTCCAATGTTCAGCATCAGTGCCCGACAAGGCTTCTTCAACAGTTAGTGGATCTGAAATCTGTTGAACACACATGAAATTATTGTGTTTCTTGTGAGATCTTAAAGTCATATTTGTTCTAAAAACATCGTCGATACTGTCATCACTTGTACTGGGATGATAAGTTTCATCACTATTTGTTCTATTCAACACGCAACTATCGAAAGACGTGTCCGTACTCGAGTGTGATAAGGTATCATTTTGCGTTTCATTCTGTGAACTATCATCAACAGGTATGTTATCATTTACTGTATTTAGAGGGACATTGACAAACTGTTTGGCAGGTATGGGTTGCAGTGTGATATTATCATTCTCACTCATTGATTTTTCAATAAATATCACATCCCTACTGATTACAATCTTTTTATTTACTGGATCATACAATCTGTAGCCCTTTGTATTGTCGCAATATCCCACAAACACTAATTCTCTTGATTTACGATCCCATTTAAGATGGTTTTGTTTTGGAATATGTACCATGGCCTTAGAACCAAAAATCTTTAAATGAGAAATGTTTGGTTTCTTACCGGTCCATTTTTCATAGGGAGTTACCTCATCCAAAACTCGTGATGGTGATCTGTTGATGACATAAGCTGCAGCGGTGACTGCCTCTGCCCAGAATTGTTTATGCAACTTTGCTTCAAATAACATACATTTTGCACGTTCCACCAACGTCCGGTTGACTCTCTCTGCTAACCCATTCTGCTCAGGCGTGTATGGAGTGCTGGTCTGATGTTTGATGCCGGAAGCTGCTAGAAAATCAGAGAATATTTTATTATTATATTCTTTTCCATTATCACTTCTTACTACTTTTATTTTCTTTTCTAATTCGTTTTCTACTTCTTCTTTAAATATTTTAAACACTGACTTAATATCCATTTTGTTCTTGAGAAAATATACGTAAACTTTACGGGAATAGTCATCTATGAAAGTTATGAAGTACTTCGCACCACCAGCAGATGGTGTCTCCATCGGACCACACAGATCAGTATGTACTATTTCGAATAATGCTTTTGCTCTTGAACCAGAATGTGGAAACGGTAATCGTGTTTGTTTTGCTTCACAACAGGGTATACAGACAACATCAACATTTTTATTAGTGATAGTTATACCCTCAGCACATAACTCTAACCTCTTTACATCAGCCAAATTTAAATGCCCCATTCTCTTATGCCATGTAATAATACCTGTCTTATTTTTACATGAGACAGCATAAGCATTCCCAGTAACAGTATTAAGTTTGTACATATTATTTGTTAGAGTTGCATTTGCTTTGAGAATCTTATTGGCATTGTATATATTGCAACCTATATCAGTGAATTTCACTTTACAGCCATTTTTGGTTAATTGACTAACAGATAACAGGTTTGCACTCAGCTCAGGAATATATAAAACATTTCTTATCTGGATAGGACATTTATCTTTGCAGTATATGGTCTGAATGTTTACTTTACCCATATTTTGCACGGAGATTGCATCATTATTAGCAACTGTTATATGCTGAATCGGAGATGGTTGTAAATCATACATCCAGTCATAATGTTTTGTCATGTGCATTGTGGCACCTGAGTCAATGTACCAATCATCTTCATTTACATTGCTGTAAGCTGAAAAAACTGCTGAAAAAGTATTATGGTTAGATTTCTTCACTGTGCATTGATTTTTAAAATGTCCGTACTTGTTGCAATTAAAGCAGCGTGGGCCTTTTCCTTTTGGCTTGGCATTATTCTTATTAGAGGTATTCTTGTGCTTTGTGAAGAATGCAGAAGACTCGGAAACTTTAACCTCTTGTAAAAGTTTTGTTTTGACGAAGTCTGCCGATATTTTAATGCCGGAACTTTCCAGACCCATGATCATAGGTTTATAATTATCCGGTAAACCCGCCAGCATGAGTGTTCCCAACCATTGGTCATCTACGTCGAAACCGATTTTTCGTAATTTGTATGCAGTACTCATAATTTTATTCACGTAGTCTTCGACGCTCGCGCAGTTATCTAGCGATGTGTTTATTAAATCTCGCAATAAGCCGACTTTTCTTGATAACCCGGAGTCTTCGAAAGCATTTTGTAGGTTCGTCCAAACTTCTTTAGATGACTGTGCATTTTCAATATGGACGTAGTTTATTGGTTCCACCAACAAAATGATTTTTGACTTGGCTTTTGTATCTTTTTTTATGTCGACATCGGTGCCGGGATAGACACATTCCCATAAATCCTCATGTTCTAGATAAGATTTGACCGCAAACTTCCATGTCGAATAATTTTCCCGTCCGGCTAATTTCTCAATTTGTAAATTAGACATAGCCATTTTACTCGGATTGACGTTCGATGAAATATTCGCAAATTACTAATATCAACGACTGTATAGTATTTTATAGCAGTAAATATTAAACTTTGAATCTTTTTAGGTATACGAGAGGGCCCATAACCTGTAGGAAATCAATTATAATAAAAGGGAAAGTTTAACAACGTTTATTGCCCGGTAATACTTTTTACAGTGACATAGAACATGACAAATTTAAATAGAAAAATAAATAGTAGGCACACAAGTTAACAAAGAGGTTGGAACTATCTTAATATATATATTTCTTGTGTGCGTGTGTATGTGACTGAACTCCTCCTAAACGACTGGACCAATTTTGATGAAATTTTTTGTGTGTGTTCAAGGGGATCTGGGAATGGTTTAGATTCACAATTTGAATAATAATTTTCATCAAAAAAATTATTAAAAAAAGTTTGAAATTTTCAAATTAAAGACGTGTAGACAGGACAACGTCTGTCGGGTCCGCTAGTTCATATATAAAATTACAATTAAATATTTTATGTTTACTATTCCAACATATAATGATGGCCGGGCGGTGGGCCGGCTACGTTCGTTCCGTCACAGTGACGTCACACGCACCCGCGTATATGGATTTTGCCGGCAGGAACGGCGTAATGTTTATTACTTAATATCTTCGTAAGTTATGGTCCGCTTTTGAAAATTCAAAAAGATATATCATTCTTATGTCTTATTAAATAAGTGGATACTAGTTCTATGGAATTTGCTATAACTGTACTGATCCTCATTGACATAAGTATTGTGTAACATACATACTCTTTTTTAGGGTTCCGTACCTAAAAAGAAAAAAGGGAATCCTAATAGGATCACTTCGTTGTCTGTCCGTCTATTTGTCTGTCAAGACCCATTTTGTCAAACCCGTGGAGGTATTAAGTTAAAATTAGTATCAAATGGTCAGGTCTGCAATCGATAGGGTCTGTGAAAAAATCAAACTTCTAAGTCAATGCAATCCAAAGATACGGCTGTTTATGATGTATATTTTGACACTCTCTAGGGAACTCGGAAGAGAATCAAATCCTATGGAGTATCCATATATATAGTCTTATAACATAAGTAAAGGGAAAAGTCTAAAAACCGTAAATTTGTTTTTATGAACTTATTTTAATGTTGCTACTGAACCCTCGGTGTGCGAGTCAGACTCACACTTGTTCGTTTTTTTTAATATCTATATGAAAGAAGTATAAAAAACCTTTAATAAATGTGGAACTGAGAACATTAATAGGTACAATTAATAATCCATTGTATATGATATTTAGAAGGACCTATCTCTCAAAGCTCGGGTTGGAAGAAGTCCAAAATGGTGATGGTGAGCTGGTGAAGGAACTGCTGGAGATGATGCAACAGACGATGGCAGATTTTACTTGCACTTTCAGACAGTTGGCTGAGGTAATATTTTTTTATTTATTTTAAAGATTAGAGCTATTTATATAGGTTCAAGCCATAGTCCACCACGCTTGCGAAGTCTTTCGAAAACTTGTTAGGTTTTTTGTTTCTTCACGATGTTTTTCTTCACCGTAAGACGAGTGGTAATCATGTTGGAAATGATTCGCACATGAAAATATCAGAGGTGCGTGACCCGGGATTTGAACTTGCTATGGACCTGAAGCTAGCGGCCGACTAGCAGCCGGCCACCTGACGAATTAAACAAAGGGCCGCAACGGTATCGCGGCGTCAAAAACACATGTTATAAGAATAAATACGCTACAGATGCAATTAAATATTACTTTTTAATCATTTTAAATACAATAATAGGAATGTATAGTGTTTTATATAATTTAATACCAAATTTTTAAATTCAGTAATGTTCGTGTCCGTTCTTAGCGTAAAAGGTCATTTAAGCCATGAAAAACTAGAAAGCATGCTTGAATCTTGCTGATTTTTTTACTGAAGCTTTCTATAATATGTACTTATTCAAAATTATACAAATTTTGCAGAATCAAACACTAAAAGTGTCGTAAAAAAAATTATTGTTGCTATTGAGAGCGCATAATTGTAAAAACAACATTCAATTCCATAAAAACGATAGAAAGCAAACTAGGAGCTAGTTCATTTTTTTATATATTATTGTACTTATATACACTAATAGAAAACCGTTTGAATTAGACAGGATCAAGCCGTAGTTTATTTGTAAAAAAATTTTAATATTGCCTCCTGGCGCGTACTCATACTAACATTCAAACGTATGAAAATACAAGAAAGCAAACTCAGATCAAGTTGAGATTTTTACTATATATTCTTTTAATATCAAGCAACTCAAAAATATTTGAATCTCGTAGGATCAAGGCATAGAATAGTTGTAAAATTTTTTTAATATTCTCATACTCGCCTATACTAGTTTCTATCAAAAATTTAAAGTCTATGAAAACGATAGAAAGCAAACTGGGAGCTCGTTGATTTTTTTATATATTATTGTACTTATATATACTAACAGAAAACCGTTTGAATTAGACAGGATCAAGCCGTAGTTTATTTGTAAAAAAAAAATTAATATTGCCTCCTGGCGCGTACTCATACTAATATTCAAACGTATCAAAATACAAGAAAGCAAACTCGGATCATGTTCATATTTTTACTATATATTCTTATAATATCAAGCAACTCAAAACTATTTGAATTTCGTAGAATCAAAGCATAGAATAATTGTAAAAAAATTTTTAATATACTCAAACTAGCCCATACTAGTTTCTATGAAAAATTTTAAGGTCCATAAAAACGATAGAAAGCAAACTAGGAGCTCGTTGTTTTTTTTACATATTTTTATATTATATATAGTAACTCAAAAACGTATTTAGTTGACGGGATCAAGCTGTATGTGTATCTGGTTTTTTATCCGTATTTTCTGTATTGAGCTCTCGTTGTTTCGGCATTTCGTATCAAAAAATGTCTCTACTACAAAATAAACAACACTCATTAGCTTTTTCTTACCGTGAAAGTAAAAAAATTGACAAATTACTCTATTATTGTTTAGTTTTGTGGACCAGGTTTTTTATGGTACTTTATAAGCCGTCGCCTATTGTTTAAATGTTTTTACAAATAAACTACCGCTTGATCCTGTCTAATTCAAATGGTTTTCTGTTAGTATATATGTATAAGTACAATAATATATAAATAAATCAACGAGCTCTCAGTTTGCTTTCTATCGTTTTTATAGACTTTAAACTTTTCATAGAAACTAGTATGGGCTAGTATAAAAATATAAAAAAAATTGTTACAACTATTCTATAATTTGATTCTACGAGATTCAAATATTTTTGAGTTGCTTGATATTAAAAGAATATATAGTAAAAATCTCAACTTGATCTGAGTTTGCTTTCTCGTATTTTCGTACGTTTGAATGTTAGTATAAGAACGCGCCAGGAGGCAATATTAATTTTTTTTTACAAATAAACTACGGCTTGATCCTGTCTAATTAAACGGTTTTCTGTTAGTATATATAAGTACAATAATATATAAAAAAATCAACGAGCTCCCAGTTTGCTTTCTATCGTTTTCATAGACTTTAAATTTTTGATAGAAACTAGTATAGGCGAGTATGAGAATATTAAAAAAATTTTTACAATTATTCTATGCTTGATCCTACGAGATTCAAATATTTTTGAGTTGCTTGATATTATAAGAATATATAGTAAAAATATGAACATGATCCGAATTTGCTTTCTTGTATTTTGATACGTTTGAATATTAGTATGAGTACGCGCCAGGAGGCAATTTTTTTTTTTTACAAATAAACTACGGCTTGATCCTGTCTAATTAAACGGTTTTCTGTTAGTATATATAAGTACAATAATATATAAAAAAATCAACGAGCTCCCAGTTTGCTTTCTATCGTTTTCATAGACTTTAAAATTTTTCATAGAAACTAGTATAGGCGAGTATGAGAATATTAAAAAATTTTTTACAACTATTCTATGCCTTGATCCTACGAGATTCAAATATTTTTGAGTTTCTTGATATGAAAAGAATATATATTAAAAATATCAACATGATCTGAGTTTGCTTTCTTGTATTTTCATACGTTTGAATGTTAGTATGAGTACGCGCCAGGAGGCAGTATTAAATTTTTTTTTACAAATAAACTACGGCTTGATCCTGTCTAATTCAAACGGTTTTCTATTAGTGTATATAAGTACAATAATATATAAAAAAATCAACTAGCTCCTAGTTTGCTTTCTATCGTTTTTATGGAATTGAATGTTGTTTTTACAATTATGCGCTCTCAATAGCAACAATATTTTTTTACGACACTTTTAGTGTTTGATTCTGCAAAATTTGTATAATTTTGAATAAATACATATTATAGAAAGCTTCAGTAAAAAAATCAGCAAGATTCAAGCATGCTTTCTAGTTTTTCATGGCTTAAATGACCTTTTACGCTAAGAACGGACACGAACATTACTGAATTAAAAAATTTGGTATTAAATTATATAAAACACTATACATTCCTATTATTGTATTTAAAATGATTAAAAAGTAATATTTAATTGCATCTGTAGCGTATTTATTCTTATAACATGTGTTTTTGACGCCGCGATACCGTTGCGGCCCTTTGTTTAATTCGTCAGGTGGCCGGCTGCTAGTCGGCCGCTAGCTTCAGGTCCATGAACTTACTTCACTCGGTTTCCCAAGCGAGAGCGTTACCACCATTATATTTCACTCATTTATGAAGTATTTTTTTGAAGTGTAAACTTCTATAGGCAGGTTTGTTTGGATGGGAAGTAAATTCATGTAAGTCGTCATCGACATGGTCACGTGACGTGTTAACGCTAACACTCATTGTCAGAGTGCCGATAGATGTCAAAACCATATAAATCTAAACAGTTTTAATTTAAACATTTTAATTTAAGATGAAACCATTTGAGTTTTGAATATCCAAAAATAACAACAAGTTTTTGCTTCTGTCGGCACTCGGCAGTCCTCATGACTGCTTTTTATATTTTTATATTTATTTAAATTCATTTGTCTTTGTCTTTTCCTCCTCTGACGTAATGATAGTGGAGTGTTTTTTTTTAATTTGATTATTTTTTCTTTTCGCAGATAGATAATAATGAGTTGTTAAACAGAGATGTGTTGGAAACGAAATGGTCTCTAGCTAAAGTTAGCAATGCGAAAGGCTGGGAGAAATGGATTGAAAAATATTTGCAAAGACTACAAGATGAAAATGGTATTTTATTTTATTATTAGTTATCAATTTAGTCACTCTCGTTTTTTTCAAGCTTTCAGCTCTCCAATTTTCTCTGTACAACAAAACACAGCAATCCATTGTTAATTGTTCTATGAATGAAAGTCAAACAAAAAAACAAATACACATTTTCACATATTAATATGGATGTATGTATGTATGTATTCAGCCCTTTTTAACGTCCCACTACTGGGCACGGGCCTACCTTCAATGCGAGGGGGATCAGGCCTTAGTCCACCACGCTGGCCAAGTGCGGGTTGGCGGACTTCACATGTCTTTCGAAAACTTGTTAGGTTCTCTCAAACATGCAGGTTTCCTCACGATGTTTTCCTTCACCGTAAGGCAAGTGGTAATCATGTTAGAAATGATTTGCACATGAAAATAACAGAGGTGTGAGACCCAGGATTTGAACCCGCTTCACTCGGTTTCCCAAGCGAGCGCGTTACCACTGGGCTGTACTGTACTGTATACAAATAAGTATTTATTTTAAACTAGCGATTAACTCTCTCTTTGCTTGGGGATCAGCCCACAGGTGCGTTTTGTATTTATTTATATGACAGTAGCGTAAATGTTACTCTAGGTTGTAGTCCATCTGTGTACTAAATATCATCAAAATCCGTCTAGCCGTTTCAGCGTTAGATCAGAAGTAACAAACATACATGCAAACACACATATATATACACATAGAAACATTTGTATTTGTAATAGTAGTGTATAAAGTATGTACTTTTACACTTTATTTTTCAGTGAGTGAAGAAGACCGGCGCAGGCGCATGCTAAAAGCGAACCCGCTATACGTGCCGAGGAACTGGTTGCTGCAAGATGCCATCGCTGATGCTGAAAACAACGATTTCCATAAGGTTTGTGGCTATAGTGAATGTGTGATTTAAGTTTGCATTGCTTTTATAAATCCAAAATAATACTTTACTAGATGGGAACCTCTTTTGTCCGATTGCATATAGCCTCATCAGGAATAAATAAAAATAGTTCAAATATATGTCAATAGATGGCGTTACATGTATGTCAAAATTTGTTTTAATTTTAGTATGTACCATGAAATGAAAAACTCTCATTTCATTTCATATTGACATTAAATTATTTAGTTCACCTTAAATTTTAACAGCCAAGTAATCAAATTTCTTATTACACTACTAAATAAGGATGCATATTTATTGATATTATTTTCTTAAAGGTCCGGCTGCTGTTTGACGTTTTCAGAAAACCATACGAGATGAATGAAGAAGCGGAGAACTTGGGATACTCCTCACAGCCACCGAGCTGGTCTTACAGTTTAAAATTAAGTTGTTCTAGTTAAATTTGTTATATAGTTATTGTTATGTAAGAAAATAGATATTGTTTTTATACTATTGTTTTCATTATTTTTGAATTGTTTCTGATATATGCATATTATAATTATTATTATATTACCTAATTTATGAAATCTTATAAATTGTTTTATTATGTCTTTCTTCACTCTCATTTTCCTTTAGTTTATTTTTGACTTTTTACTCGACTGCAGCTAAGCTTTGTGTTGTGTTTGTAGTAAGTTCGACTCTTATGTTTTTTCGTAATTACTAAACGACTTAACCGATTTTGATGATTCATACGTCAATAGATTAGTCTTGATAACGCGAGTGACATAGATTTTAAGGGTATTTTTAAAAATCAAAATGGCGGATTTAAGACTCCAATTTGTGTTCTTAAAAAGTTTTTCCTCCAAACCTATCTGTGTAGTGGGATCTCCCAATGCTGCTGCGAGTCATACTATGTGTATGTATGTCTCAGACTGCATAATATTATGTTCCTTCGTCAACTTGTTCTCATTTTTTAGTTAGCATTTTAAGGAGTTAGGTTTTTCATTTTTATAATTTACTAGCATTGCCCGCGGCTCCGCTCGCGTTCAGATGACCAAGAACCAATTCTTAGGTACATATTAGTATACTCTTACAATTCAGTTTTTGTATTTTTTCTCAGAATGAGTTATTTTCCCGCGGTAAAAAGTATCCTATATGTTGACCCGGATAACCAGCTACCATCATACCAAATTTCATAAAAATCTGTCATGTGGTTTTCTCGTGATACGGTAACAGACAGACAGACAAAAATTCAAAAAACTATAGATTCGGACTCTATCGATAATAATGTCTATTTCAATTAGATTTTCCAAAAAAAAAAATTGATGTACGGATTCGACTTAGTTACAATTTTATTATATGTATAGATTTTTTGTTCTTTTTTAATTAGGAGAAAATTAACTTTTAAATATTATCAAATTCTGTTTAAAATTCAACTTGGCATTGAGAGGTCTGTTTTTCATCTCTACTTGTTACACATAAGGTATCCTCATATTAAAATATTATTAAATAGGCTTAATAAAAGGATATAAAAAAAGAATACAAAGAATATAAAATACTATTTTTCTTGTAATTCTTGTAATTAAATAAAGTATATACACATTATCATTAAAGAAACACTTTTTCACAGAAAACAAAATCACTTAACATCACACCCAAAATTAAGTTGCAGTTAAAATATTCTGAATATATAAAATTAATTTCTTTCCATAATCTAAAATAAACAATATTTCACTTAACAATTTACAAGCTTTTTAACACCATAATTTTTATGATAAAAACATTAATGATAATCTTCATCACCACTATCATCTGGCTCAGAATAGTCTTCATCAATCTCTATCTTCCTTCTCTTTCTTTCCTGAACATTTTCTTTTTCTGCCTTCTGTGCCTCAGTTTCCGCAGAACGATGGTGGAACACAAATGAAATACTCTTAGCTAGATCCCAGCATTGTTTAAGAACTAAGTCGGCTAAACTCTTTTTGTCTGCACAATGATACCAGTTAGACAAGTCGGAAGTACAGTCAGAGTTTTCTGGTGGCAATGTTACTTGGATATTGTTAACACAACGCTTGCATTTAAACTTTCCATGGGTGTCCGACAATGTGTTCTCTTCTAAACGGAACAAATCTTTTAGGTCATCAGAAGTAAAATGTCTTAAAGATTCTTCATTTTGATCAACAACAGTGTCACTTAAAGCTTTTTTATGGGCCTGTCTTTGGAAGATTTTCTCTTCTATTGTGCCAGTTGCTAACAATCTGTATATATAGCAGGGTTTCTTCTGTCCATCACGCCATACTCTGGCCATTGCTTGATCATCGTTGGCTGGATTCCAGTCAGGGTCAAACATAATTAGCCGATTCGCTCCTATAAGATTCAAACCACAACCTCCAGCTTTAGAACTCAACATAAATATCCATTCTTTTGAATCCTTATCATTAAAACTCTCAACAACTTTAGCCCTTTTCTTAATGGTCATCGAACCATCTAATCTTACATACTGATAACATCTTTTGCGACACAGTTTTTCAAATAAATCAAGTGTTTGAGTGTAATTCGATACAAGGACTATTTTGTCATCAGTATTAGTCTTTAAGTTTGCCAAAATACAGTCTAATATCATAAGTTTTCCAGAATATTCTGGTCTAACATCTTTTATATCATAATTACTGGGTAGCAAGTCCCTCGCCTTCTCGAATCCTTCTGATCTCTCAATAATTTTATCATATACTAAATCAGGGTGGTTACATAGTTTTTTGAGTGTAGTTATACTGGAAAGGGCACTTAAAGTATTCTTCTCCCCAGTCCCAGCAAATTTGTTCCTAATAGCATCAGAATTAATAAAGTTTTTGTATATTTGAGTCTGGAGTGGTGTCATCTTAACACAGATGACTTGTTCAAACTTGACCGGCAAGTATTTTGTCAATAAAGTACTAGTTCTTCGGATCATACACTTATTTACAATGGAGGTCAGTGTTAGTAGACATTCTTGTGCTCTTTCTCTTTCTTGTGTCGAAGCTAATGCATCTTGACCCTTTAAAATTGGGTTTTCATATCTCTTTTTAAACTCTTGTGCTGTCCCAAGAATGCCTTCATTAACGAAATGTACCAAACTGAAGTATTCAGTTAAATCATTTTGGATAGGTGTTCCAGATATTAGTATTCTTCTCTTAGCTTTTAGGCCCATTAAAGCTTGGTATGTTTGGTTTTCACTATTTTTTAACCTATGTCCTTCGTCACACAGAACTAAACCTACTTCTGATGCATGTAAAATATTTGCGTATATCCTAAATGTTTCATATGATATAATCAATACAGGTGTAGCAACTCTTATCGCTGCAAATGTGTTCATGAACTGTTGAAGTTTTAAAGTAATCTCAGCTTTTGAACCTCCGTCCATAGGTAAAGCATTAATTCTTTGTCCTAGCCATTTACCTATTTCATTATACCAATTTTTAACTAAACTACTTGGACATACAATAATTGCTTTGCTTATTGTTGGTTTACAATCTGGTCCTTGCCTTAACAAAGCCCATAGCAATGTGATGCACTGCAGAGTTTTTCCCAAACCCATTTCATCAGCCATAATACAACCATAGGCATTTTCTATCTGTTTTCCAGTTACACAGTCATACATAAACTTAACACCATCTCTTTGATGTGGTCGTAATATATTTCCTAGAACAGGATCAACAACTACAGCTACTTTAATGTCATTAGCATTCATTTTCATCTTCTCATGTTCTGGTATATATGGTGGTCTATATAGCACAAGTGCGTTTGGTTCATCTGGATCATGTAGGGCTCTCCTTACTTGAGTCCTCTTTAAACCCAAACTTTTACTGCAATACGAAGACACGTAGTTTGGAATGGGTACTTTGAATGGTTTACTTAAAATTTGTTTGATGAGATTCTCGTGTTCGGAGGCAGAAAGTGCTTGAAAAGCCGAATTTTGTGTAAGAGATATTTTCGTGCACTCTCGCTTTTTTCTTTTTGTAGATTGTAGCAATGGACTTTTAAATACGGTATCGCCGGAGCCAACTTGGCTCGGAGCCAAACTGCGTCTCATTTTTGATTAATTACAATATCATTGTTTTTTGTTTTTTAGCGGGCTCAAAAACACATTCTCACAATTTGAAAACATTTTTAAATTTATTTCATGTCAAAACTTGTTTGACATAGAATTTTGGTGTTGTCATATGCATTATTATAATAAAAAAAGGGATTATGGACTTCCGATAATAATGAATCAAATAATTTTAAAATAAAGGAGGAAGGAAGAATAAAAAAAATAAGTTTATGTTTTATTTAAATTTTTATTTACAAAGCAGGTACAAAAATATAATTTTTACGTAGTAAAAATAGTTTACTTTCAATATCTTTAACAATATGACACTAAATATTTAAATTACATTTAAATGATTATTTCTACTACTAAAGATGTTTAATGTCATCCTAATAAGAATCCAGAAAACGAATCCCATAAACAGATACCGCACAAATAAGTCGACTGCACGCATACTGAAAAATAAAGAGACAAATATTAACGATAAAAAATATATTTAAATGATGTCATAGTTATTATATTTATAATTTAAACGTGTATTACATTTTCATATGCCTTTTAGCTGCAGGTATAGTATCGTCGCTCTCCTTGAGGATGTATAATCGCGCTGCACGAACACAATCTTCAAAGTAATTGGGAATATTAGCGCCTGTAAAACAAAATTGGCATTATTAACATAAAGAATATGTTATTAGTTGTAGAAAAATATTTTAATTTAATCAATATAATAATCATTCCGAAATAAAAATTTAATTTAATAAATTAAATTGACTAAAGTCATCTGACCATCTGCATCAACTTTGTAGTCTTCCTTCTCACGACTGTTTAGGCGTGTGCGCACTCTTTGTCCTGCTTCGGATTTGAAGTCCCACTGGTTGTTCGTATAATACTCAAATACATCAAAACCTTTGCTTATCCGTTTGTGGACACGTATTAAACTGAAAAGAAAATTTCTAAATGTGACATTTTATTACAATAACTTCTAAGAAAAATCCGGTATATATGTACATAAGTAACCCATGTACTTTTATATCGGAGTACATTTTAGAAAGAGATAATCCCTCCACATCCGCAGACACGCCGGGGTTACAGTTAACATTAGATTTCTTAGAAATTTAATTAAATTCTTAGAAATTTACCTGGAGGTGTTTACAAATTTTAATTTGAGGTCAAATAATTAATTTGAATATCTAAAAAAAAAAACAACTGTTTGTTTATAGTTTTAAGATTTCACTTCTGTCGGCTCATGAGTGCTTTTTTTACTTACATTGGATCAAATCGGAGTATAAATAATAGTGTATCGACGAGAATAGCGGGTATCCAATGAAACAGTACAGCGCATATGTTGTGAACTAGACGCGAGTGCTTCATCGATCCCCCGGGGTACCTGATTATAAATAAAGATAAAATTATTTCATACTTGAATTCTTACAAAATATCAACAAAATTTTAGATCATATGAGAGTGCATTTGTAATATTAATAGAATATAATACTACCAATTAGATATTTATTTATTTTATTATTGAAAATGTTTTATAGAAGTTAGTTTTAAGTATTCTTAAATAAATTATTTTAATTTTTCACGTAGTAAACACCAGCATAAATGAAACCGGATACGATTTTTTTTCTTTCATGTGACGCATTCACTATATTTATACGGAAGGAATATGATGATGATGATGTTCCGAATCCGGCTACGGCAGCCAATCTCATTGAGACTAGCCAACTGCGCAGGAGATATTATAGTGCACAAGTGTACGCGCAGACACAACGTGCACTCTCTGTTCCTGTAACTCTCATACTCCGGTGGGACGACGTGAGACATGACCGGTGAGAGTTAAGGCGCAGGACCGACGGCTTTACGTGCTCTCCGAGGCACGGGGGTGAAACACCGCTAACTTCCCAACTCCGGGCTGTTACTGAGGCTTACTATACAGAAAGACTCAATAACTAAACTTGGCCCGACCCGGGACTCGAACCCAAGACCTCCGAGTGTGCAGCCGTACGTGCTAGCCACTACACCACCAAGGCAGTTAACAGAACGGAAAGAATATAATTAACATCTTACCAAACTACACCATTTAAGGGTATCCTATTCAAGATGATATCTCTGCCAGTATCTATGAGTTCGGACCACGTCACTTTGACTTCTGCAGAACTCGTGAAGTTGTAGATCATTGTGGTCTTATCACTAAAGAAAAATACATTTGTATTGAGTTTGAAATCAAAAATCTAGAAATAAATATTTACACTATATTATTTGTATTGTATTTTCTTTGGTAATTTAACAATCTCAAATCTTTAAAAAACGAACTATTTTTTTTTGGAATATGTAACCATTTGTAGATGTTATTTATATTATAAGTAAATCACAGATTATGTGACGATTTTTTGGTTTTATTTCTAAGTTCGACTTTGCTGGGTTTTATATATTAACTAGCGACTCACCCTCGCTCCGCTCGGGTTCGTCCCTACTTACGTTTTCACATTCAGTATAGATTTCTCAGAGATGAGATATTTTCCAGCAGTAAAAAGTATTATATATGTTGAGCCGGATAACCAACTATCATCATACCAAATTTCATCAAAATCCCTCCAGTGTTTTTCCGTGCTGCGGTAATAGACAACCGACAGACAGACAAAAACTCTAAAAACTATAGATTCAGCCTGTGCATATAGATAATAATGTCTATTTCAATAAGATTTTCCAAAAAATATTTAGCTTACAGATTCGGCTTAGTTACAATTTTATTTTATGTATACATAAAATAATATAAAAAACTTACCTATTCTTTAAATAGTTCCAAGTAACCACCATGATACCATTAATGAATACATCCACGGGCAAGTAGTCGGCGTAGCTGTCGCTGCGACAATACATTGACCGAATTACACCCTTTCCTGCGCCTGATTGTTAAAAATATTGAAAGGTGTTTGATATAATATTGAAAGTAAAACTTGCAAGATTTAATTACAAACAGACAGATATCGGTACAGGTAAAACTAAAAAAAAAATTATAATGATAAATCGACATTTTACGACGTCCACCATATTAGATTTACTATAACGTCACTTGTCTCATCGTATTTCGCTTATCAATCCCTTTCATTTGGTATCCATATTATAGGGTCTTATGTGGAAAAAACTTCTGTGGACTAAACTGCCTCGATAGTGTAGTGGCTAGCATGTACGGCTGCACGCCCGGAGGTCCTGCATTCGAGTCCCGGGTCGGGCCAAGTTTAGTTATTGAGTCTTTCTGTACAGTAAGCCTCAGTAATAGCCCGGAGTTGGGAAGTTGGCGGTGTTTCACCCCCGTGCCGAGGCAGAGCACGTAAAGCCGTCGGTCCTGCGCCTTAACTCTCACTGGTCGTATCGAATGGTCGTCCCACCGGAGCATGAGAGTGACAGGAATAGAGAGAGCACGTTGTGTCTACGCGTACACTTGTGGGCTATAATATCTCCTGCGCAGTTGGCTCAATGCTCATTGCTCATGTGGAAATTACAAATCGCTATTTTGCGGCCACCATATTAGATTTACAATGACATCACTTTGCTTATTGTGTTTCGCTAATCAAGCCCTTTCATTTGATGCCTATATCATAAGGTTCACTATGGAAATAATAAATCGCCATTTTGTAACGTCCACCATTTTGGACTAAAAATGGCGGCATTTACGATATCGTGCATTCTCGCGAGAACCAAACGTGTGTGCTTTCTTCTTCACACTATAATAAAGGGAGATTTAACGACTAACTTCATACTGTAGTTTGAATCTGTCGTATCATGAAAAATTCACTGTCATCATTTTTTTTCCTAACGCGCCAAAAGAAGTATAACTTCAATAATATAGAAAAGGTCTTTTTTATTTATTTTTTGTATAACAAAAGTCAAAGAGTTTCATGTTTTGTATTCTAAATCAAGTGGACAATTTAAGTTTTAAAAAAAATGGAGATGATATAATGGATTATTAAAAGTAAACTTACCTATTAAAAGTCCGGTGGGTCCGTTTATATTATCTGTCCATCCAGGTAAAGGTTCCCGCCAAATCGGAATAACTAGGAAGAAAAAATTTATAGTTTGAGAATACCTACAGTAGATAGTGCATCAAAGTTAGTAAGTTTTCTATAAGCCTTTATTCTTAAATCTAGGTACAGTGACATACCGAACTGATTGCGTAAGACCTAAGCCATACTTATTAAACTTGCACAATTTCTTTGATAATTGTGCACTGAATTTCGGAATACTTTTTTTTTTAATAAAAGGTAACGTTTTGTAAGTTCATAAATTTTTCCCATATTTCATTTTCTTATGTTAGGATATAAGTAATATTCTTAGTAAAATAATAACCAAATAATTAGCACATACCAATTGACGGACGAAGTATCATCACTGGCATATTTTCCATCGCTTCCACAGCTAACGCTTCAGCCAGAGCTTTTGTAAACGCGTATGAATTTGGGAGTTTATCTAATAACCTAAGGGAAAATTTTTTAATTTTTTATAACAATTTAATGGCTATTTTTTGTATGCAAATATTTATTTTCTGTATCTTTATATGTGAAGTTCGCCAAGTGCTAATCCGAAGCTTGGTCAGCGTGGTGGACTATGGGTTGATCCCCCTCGAATTTATGGGAGGACCGTGCCCAGTCGTGGAACGCTAAAAAGCGCTGAACACAATACAAGTTACATGTACTTTTAAACTATTTCTTCTTATTCTATTTATTAGTGTCGTTGTTAATGTTACTCTGACGCTCTACGCGATTTTTTCTCGTAGGCACCGTTAATTTTGGTTGTACTGTTTGGAGAAAGATACAATCAGTCACATTTCCCATGTTTTAAGTTTGAAAGACAGATCTTTCGATTTTTTTTAATTACCCTAATATTATTTTTGAAGTCGTGGCTGTGTGTTTCATCTAATTTTATACTTACTTAGGAGTTATTTTCTCAATAGTTTCGTCATCTAAGATCTCAATAGTCGACAGTACTTTGTGAGGGTCTGCGGGAGGATCGTATGCTTTTTCTTCCAAAAGCTTTTCATTTAAATGGCAATATGCGGTGGAGATGTGGATGAATAACTGAAAATTACTTAATATTTTTATTAATCACGCTAAATAATTAAAAAATATGTCAGTTTTTACAGAGTGTTCATTTCTTGTTCACGCTAGTAAGGATGGCATGGACCGATTTCAGTGAATGTTACTACGCGGATGGTAGATAGTTGAGTTAGCTATTTATTACCGTTTCGATTTAGAGATAGTTCCGGAGGAAATACTTAATTCAAATCACAGCCAATTTGGTTGTATTTTGTCTGTGATTCAAATCTATTATTTTTTGTGTATTACACTTATATATACACATATTTGTGTTTTACACTTCGCAAAATAATAACTGTTTCTTTACTAAAAAAATATTAAAAAAAAATATATAAAAATTCATATCTAAGCAAAAAATGACCTACTTTTAAAACAGCAGACATGAGACATAAATCATTACATTTTCAATCAGGTAAGTATCTATTTATTAAAACATTAACCTTTAACTTTTTGCAGGACTTTCCCAATTCCAGCACTAATTTAGTGCCTCGCACGTTGAGAAGTACGGCCTTCTTTAATGCTTCATCAAATCTAAAAAGGAAGGTTTAATATGAATTGTTAATATTACTTTATTAATAAAACTAGCATTACCCGCGGCTCCGCCCGCGTTCGATGACCAAAAACCAAATTCTTAGGTTTTACATAGTAGTATACAATAGTACTCTTACAATGCAGTTTTTCAGAAATGAGATATTTTCCCGCGGTAAAAAGTATCCTATATGTTGACCCGGATAACCAGCTATCATCATACCAAATTTCATCAAAATCTGTCCAGTGGTTTTCTCGAGATGCGGTAACAGACAGACAGACAGACAAAAATTCTACAAAACTATAGATTCGGACTCTGTATCGATAATAATGTCTATTTCAATTAGATTTTCCAAAAAAAAATTAATGTATAGATTCGACTTAATTACAATTTCATTATAGATATAGATTTGCTTTCAAATTTAAAGCACTTATGCCAATGTTATGTATCAGACTAAAAATAGAAGGTTAATGGAGCTAGTAGAAGATAATTATTGAAGCGAGATGCCGTATTATAATATGAAGATTTTCATAATTTTTTATACTTCATCTATTGTATTTCACGAACTATACAATTTAAGCTCAATGAATGCCGAGCCACAATTCGACGACACGTTTGACTCAGTTTGTAGTAACCCTACTTGTTGTGCCAGCGGTCGCGGGTTCGAGTCCCGCTGGGGGCATTCATTTGTGATGAGCACGAATGTTTGTACTTCAGTCATGGGTGTTTATATTTATAATATGTATGTATTTAAAGTTATATGATGATGTTCTCCCGACCGATTCCGGCCACGGCGGCCAATCTCATTGAGACTAGCCAACTGCGCAGGAGATATTATAGTGCACAAGTGTACGCGCAGACACAAGTGCACTCTCTATTCCTATCACTCTCATATTCTGGTGGGACGACTGCTCGACACGACCAGTGAGAGTTAAGGCGCAGGACCGACGGCTTTACGTGCTCTCCGAGACACGGGGGTCAAACACCGCCAACTTCCCAACTCCGGGCTGTTACTGAGGCTTACTTATACAGAAAGACTCAATAACTAAACTTGGCCCGACCCGGGACTCGAACCCAGGACCTCCGGGTGTGCAGCCGTTCATGCTAGACACTACACCACGGAGGCAGTTAAAGTATATATGTGTAGTGTATCAACTATCTGGTATCCATAACACAAGCCTCGTGCTAAGTGTTAATGTCCCAACAGAAAAAAAATCTGACTCATGAAAATCCCTTCGGAGTCTCAGAACTATCCTGACAATTATTATACAGGCTATTAACATCAAATATCTAATATAGATATCCCCCTTTCACAATATTCTAATCTAAAGTGCTCAGTATTTGACTTGAGCCATTTATGTACAAATTACACCACAAACTGTCATGTGTCCATATTTAGAGGTCGAAGTAAATCCGACATTACCGTATTTTATAAAAATGTTGCGTCATGTCAAAGAATCCTAACTAAAGTACCGTTTAAAATGGTTGTGAAATTTTTTTGCACGCAATTCTCATCATATTTTTATTTCAAAAATATAATGAGAGATAAGTGCCTAAATATATAAATATTTATTGCATATGATGTGTAAATATTAAAATATTTGTTTGTACAGAGAATTCTCAGTTTGCATAGAAGTATTTTGAAAGATTTATAATGAAAATTTCGTAAATAATATTTTCAACGGAAATTTTCCACAGTCGATACGCATTATCCGGAGGATATCTTTGGACAAAATCCTATGGGTTACTCAAAGATGGATTCCGGCTGATGCGTCACAATAAACAAACTTGAATCTCTTAGAGGGCCTCTACTGTCTGACTGTTGGACTTGTGTCCCCACGCAAGCCTTCCAAAGGACCGGGCTCCTTCCAGCCCGTGATACAAGAGATACAAGTAATAATAATAGAGTGTCCTGCTGACGCATTTCGGCCGCATCGATCAATCTCACTGAGACTAGCCAGACGCGCAGGAGATATTATAGTGCAAAAGTGTACGCGCAGACACATGTGCACTCTCTAATCCTGTCACACTCACACTCCGGTAGAACGACTGCTCGACACGACCAGTGAGAGTTAACGCGTAGGATCGACCAGTTAAAAACCGCCAACTTACCAACTCAGTGCTGTTACTGAGGCTTCCTAAACAGTAAGACTCAATAACTAAACCTAGCCCGACCCGGGACTCGAAATCAGGACCTGCAGATGTGCAGTCGTACATGTTAGCCACTACACCACCGAGGCAAAAGTACAGCTATGACGTGATCACTTCACATTTAAGATTACCTGATAGTAGCCGCAGCGTGAACGATTATGTCAACATTACTTTGTATGAATAGACGATCACTTTCCTTCATTCCAAGGTCGAGCTCGCTCACATCTCCACATACTACTTTTAATTTTTCCTTTATCGCCTGAACACCGCGGGATTCTAATACTTGACCGAAAAGCTGTAATTAAATACATAGTTTAAAATTTACCAACCGAGTTACAGAACAGATATAATTATTTTTTTTGTCGGAGCAGAATCTTAAGGTTTTTTTAATTTATGTATGTTTATGTATATATATGTAGCCTTTTCGATCGTAAATATGTAGTCTTCGTCGATCAGGTCATAGTCCACCACGCTGGCCAAGTGCGGGTGGACGGCGGACTTCAAATGTCTTTCGAAAACTTTTATTAAGCTTAAGCAGAACAAATGTCTTATGAATATATAAATTTAGTAAAACATTAGAAAATCTAAAATATACGACTTTCGTGTTCCACTAGTCTCTAGATAATATTCTCTAAAACTAGATCTTTGCAAAATATGTACATACAGATTACACTAAATCTAATATTCATTACTACACCTCTTATACAAATTGGCCGACTTTCAAAGCGAATATAATAACCTCCGTATATAATACGACTGTATTTTTCGTGTGTATATTACGCGATATATTAGCCAATTGTAAAGCGATTAGGTATCATTATTTTTTGGTGGTCGAAGGTGGTCTGATATAAATTTGCAGAAGCCTTCGGAGTGGAATTATATAATAAACTAGCAATGCCCGGGGCTCCGCCCGCGTTCAGATGACCAAAAACAAAATTCTTAAGATTTACATATTAGTATACTCTTACAATGGGGTCTTTGTATTTTTTCTCAAAAATGAAATATTTTCCCGCGGTAAAAAGTCGGATAACCAGCTATCACCATACCAAATTTCATCAAAATCTGTCCAGTGGTTTTCTCGTGATGCGGTAACAGACAGACAGACAGGCAGACAGACATTAATTCTAAAAACTATAGATTCGGACTCTGTATCGATAATAATGTCTATTTTAATTAGATTTTCCAAAAAATATTTAATGTACAGATTCGACTCAGTTACAATTTTATTATATGTATAGATTTTTGAAATGGGTGTATCTTTTTGTCAAAAGATTATTAATTTATAGTTTGCAAATCTCTTACCGGGTCATTGAGCATGACGTCGAGTCGTTCGTTCGGGTCCTTCCCTTTCTTGTTCCGCACTAAGAGAATAATTTGCCGAATATCTGGACATTTTCTGAAAATAATATTTGTCACTAAATCTTCACTGACGATGTGATATTTAAAATTAATGAATATAATGTATACTTGGATTTACCTGTTGCTTTTATATTTTACTACCTTTAAATCATCAGGCGCTGTTATGACTACCAAATGGGGTAAAATTAAGAAATAATATTTGGTAAATTTTAAGTAAAAGTATAGGTATATTTAAAAAGATTACACAAATAAACAATACAAGTGAAGTGAAGTCTTGCACCTCTGAAAATTTTATCTGCGACTAGCATTGCCCGCGGCTCCACCCGCGTTCAGATGACCAAAAATCAAATTCTTAGGTTTTACATAGGTATACTCTTATATTGCAGTTTTTGTATTTTTTTCTCAGAAAGGAGACATTTTCCCGCGGTTAAAAGTATCCTATATGTTGACCAGGATAACCAGCTATCACCATACCAAATTTCATCAAAATCCCTCCAGTGGTTTTTCTGTGATGCGGTAACAGACACGTCTACAGACAGACAGACAGACAAAAATTCTAAAAACTATAGATACGGCCTCTGTATCGATAATAATTTTTATTTCAATAAGATTTTTCAAAAAATATTTAATGTACAGATTCGACTTAGTTAGAATTTTATTATATGTATAGAAAAAATAAAGAAAAGACGCTTGTAAAAGGTAGTTTAAAAACCATTAGCCTACTGCTTTATGTAGTCTTGTAATTTGTTTCTTGACAGATGTAATGATGTAATAAAAAACAAACAAAAGTATAGAGAAGGTGTATGGACTAGACCTGGTTTCACTCGACCTTGACCATTCGTGGTTTAGGCATTTTTTTGTGGATAATATAGGTACTCTCTGAATATAGAATTGGTTTTTAACCGACTGCGACGAAGCTTAAGACGACGGAGGGTTATGTGTTTGTTGAAATATGTATATGATTATTTTGCCGGAAAACGAGTCGAGGGAGTTTCGTTCTTTAAAGCTAAACAGTACAAATGATAAGACGAGGTATTACGTCTTTTATTTTTTTTTTAAACACCTAAATTTTATATAATAAAAAAGACAAATGTATCTAGAGTCTTGATTGATGTATGTTTAGAAAAATGGCTGCTACACTTAAAAAGTTTGAAAAGATACGACAATAGATATTAATTGAAATTGTCTCACAATAACATTGATAATTGTTTTTATTTGAAAACAACCATATCTATATAAAACTCTGTGGTAACCGGTACTGGCACCAAAACAAAAAAATACTTGTCTTAGGGACCAGTGTTCTCCCGTACAGTGTATCGATAAATAAGTAAACAAACAATAGAATAATATACAAATTACATAGTAGGATTTATTCAGCCTTTTTTAATGTCCCACTGCTGGGCACGGGCCTAGGAGGGGGATCAGGCCATAGTCCAACCCGCTGGGCAAGTGCGGGTTGGCTAATTTTACATGTCTTTCGAAATTTGCTAGGTCCTCTCAGACATGCTTGCATGGTTTTCACACAATGTTTTCCTTCACCGTAAGATAAGTGGTAATCATGTTGGAAATGATTCGCACGTGAAAATATCAAACGAGTCATTTTTTTAACGTGTGTTTTTTTAACGGAGCCCCATTTTGATAATAACGAAACTGTACTGTACTGTTGTGTTGTAGTTAGAATTATAATACTTTCTTGTTTGACTTGAAAGAACAAATCAAAATGAAAAATATGAATAATTATAATAATATTTATCATACCATAAATATATTTAACGTGATGAATGTAAGTTTTCCACATATCTATTTACAATAATTCTAAAATTAGGCTTCAAGTCTGACAACGTCTTATTTAACTTTCGAACGGAACTCGGAACCCTTGTGGTCTTCCCCAGAACTAGTGTTCCGCGGACCACTATTTGGGAACCGCTGATGTATTGTATAGTTTATTTAGTAGTTGTACGTACCTGAGAAGTTTTTCAACGAGCACTTTTCCCATGAAGCCCGTGCCGCCTGTGACCATTACCACTTGGTCGGTAAACGTCTCTGCCACTCTATCGGGCAATTCCAATTCATTTGCTTTCGGCATAGTAGAAAGATTTTATAATTCTCTGTAAAGATTTAACGATAAATGATTTCATTTATATATCAAGGGAGGTGGATATACATTTTAACAGAAAAGATATACATATATATATATAAGGGTGTAATCATTTAACTAAAGTAATTGAAAATCATTGTAGCGTCTGTATTTATATACTAAGTACAACCAACCAAGCTTTTCTCAGCGTTGTAAAAAAAAAAGATTTTTTCAGAAATGGCACTTAGGTATATAGTAAAACTTAAATTTGATCCAAATCGTTACAGCCGTTTTCGAGACACACGAAATTTTACACCCTTCACCTATTTTAAAATTAGTCGAAATTACTCTACACACATTAATGACAAAACTATTATTAAATTCAAATCAGTAAAATTAGATATTATGAAAATGTTACCTTGAAACAACCGTTCGGCTTCTCGTCCTAGTACAAGAGTGGTTTATGATTTGCTCGAATGTTACTTTTCTATGTGCCCCTCCAGAGAATCCAGTTCTGGGGGTTTCAACATAGCTTAGATTGTTGAGCCTTCTGTGCTTTTTTTTTAGATTGTTGAGCGGCATTGGTAGGTTTTAATATAAACTAATGATTATTTGCGTGTAAATGTAAGAATAAAGTGATACCACATTCAGATTTTCATACTGTAAAAAGTCTCAATCGATAAACAATATCTATAAATATAAATATATAATTCATACAGACAGACAAAATTCTAGTACAGGATAGGTATTTCTTTAGTAACAAGTAAAATTCGGCGGAGTAAACATATTATTTAATAACACAAAAAAATTATTTTATTGTAATAATGAGAAAAAACAATTTTTAAAATTTTTGTCTGTCTGTCTGTCTGTTTGTTCAAGTTAATCTCCAAAACGGCTGGGTCAATTTTGACGGGACTTTCACTGGCAGATAGCTAATGTTATAACTTAGGCTACTTTTATTTTAGAAGAAGAAACAGGGTTCCGCGCGAAAACAACCCATAAAATTGTGAACAAAATCAGCGGAAAAGAATCCGAGCATAGTGAGGGTAACTCGCTAGTCTGTCTATAAACATCCAAATCCGATTCAGCGTGAATACACAAACAACACATACACGTAAATGCAGACTTTCGTATTTATAATTGTAATAGTAAATATAAAAACAGATACGGTTCTAATTCACCACTCTTACGAAATTTTAAATTATATAATTTTATAATTCAGCAACGTGATATAGACATTTTTTCTGATAGTTTAAATTTATTTAAAAAGAAAGTGTGTTTAAATATTTAGATTAGACTTTTTTTTCTTCTTTTGTTTATTGTACAACTGAAATGGCTCCTTATATCTCGTAACCACATAAAATTTTAATCGAATACTTCTATAAAAAGCTGTGCATACTTTTAAATTAAATTTATGTACAAATATGTAACATTATAATGTTAAATACATGTTTTATGTAAATTTAGTTAGTAAGCCTTCATAATAAATAAATAAATAAATAGTTCCCGTACATAGTACCCAAGCCCGTTTAGCAAAGCAAGTGAATGGTAAGTGCTAAGATTCCGTTGTAAGCTCTATGAAAGGTTATCTAAGTTTAAAACGAAGTTGTATTTAGGTATACCTGTAGGATTCGGGTATACTAATAAAAGCGTTTAGAACACTATTGACTATTTATTCCTTAAAAATTATACAAAACAATGTTCACGCGTCTCGTCGTGTCGTCATTATGACACAATATATTTTTTTCCTTTTATTCATCTATTTCATTCCATTCCATTCTTAAAATTCTAACATACGTCTCCTTTTATTCTTAAAATATCATTTCATGCATACTCATCTTGCAGATCCTACATACATACATACATCTATATTTATATGGAAATTAAATTATAAAAATTTAAAAATCAGACTTTGGAAAAAATTAACAAAAAAGACGGGAAAAAGTTGACAACAGTCGCGTTAAAAGTGAAGAAATGTTATTTTTTTGTAATTAAGTCAAGTGGGGTCGTAATGATATCCATATCCATATTATAAATATGAAAGTGTGTTTATTTGTTTGTTTGTTTGTTTGTTTGTTGTTTGTTTGTTTGTGTGTTTGTTTGTTTGTTTGTTTGTTTGTTTGTCCCTCTTTATATAGTTAGGGAGCTGGAGAGTGACATAGGCTACTTTTTACCGCAGGAGATTGTCTAATTCCCACGGGAAAACACGTTATAATACAATCCAAAAAAATATTTATCATCAGAATTACTTGAAACTTGGTATTAATGCTCTACAATAAAATTAAATAACGTGTTTTAGCATTTTTCGAAATTCATCCTATAAAGGGGTAAAATAGGGGATGATAGTTTGTTTGGAACTACCATTTTAGAGATTTTTTTGTAGTTTTAGCGCGAGCGAAGCCGCGGGTTCTGCTAGTTATATATAAATGTAAAAGAAAGAAAGAGCACCTAGGCCTTATTTGCCGGCTCCCTTATTTGACCGACTTCAAGAAATCGGTACCTACTCTATTTGAGTGTATGTTTTTGCGCCTAACACTAACTACTATTAAATAACTTTTTTGACGACACGCTTGGCACGTTTGGCTCAGTTTGTAGTGACCCTATTTGTTGTACCAGCGGTCGCGGGTTCGAGTCCCGCTAGGGACATTCATTTGTGTGATGAGCTCAAATGTTTGTACTCCAGTCATGGGTCATATTTATAATATGTATGTATTTAAAAGTTATATATGTGTATCAACTATCTGGTATCCATAACACTGGCCTCGTAGCTTACCATGGAACTAGATGGTGCTGTGTGTAATCTAAGAAATTAATTAAATTTCTTTGAAATCTATTGCAAACTGTAACGCCGGCGTGTCTGCGGTCGTGGAGTGATTAACATTGGAAAATGCATTTACGTACTGCAAAAAGGTAGGTAACAAATAACATGGGGACTATTACCTAATCTAGAACATTATTTAGTTAAAAAGTATTTATCATTGACTATAAGTATGTTCCGTAGAAATGGGTCGATTACCATATTACCAAAGAGAGATTACCAAACTTTTCTTCCATCTCTCATCTATCTATATACCTACATATACCTAATAAAATTCTGAGTCAAATCTGTACATGAAATACTTTTTTGGAAAATTGTATAGTCATTATTATCGATACAGAAGCCGAAGCTATAGTTTTTAGAATTGTTATTTGTCTGTCTGGGAACGCTTCACGCGAAAACCACTGGACAGATTTTGTTGAAATTTGGTATAATGATAGCTGGTTTTCCAGGTCAACATATAGGATACTTTTTACAGCGGAAAAGTATGTCATCTGTGTAAAATCTATACTAACCGTCAAAACGTATCTAGTGGTCGCTAGTATTTTAAAAGGTAGCGATGTCGTGAATTTAACAGTATTTTTGCATGCGACATGCTCTTTGTCGATGTCGACATCGTCGTCACAAGTACTGCGCCTGCGCATGGTGGAAAAGATTACTTATATTTTGCTCAATTTTAGGTTTGTGTGCTCATTTCGCAGTTTTTTCTTCACATATCAATTGTTGTTGGCCTACTTTTATAGCTATATTATTTTTTCAATGTAACTACATAGGTAGGTATACTCGGTGATTCATGTATTATTAAGTAAATCTATACTAATATTATTAAGAGGCAGAGTTTGTTTGTTTGCTTGAACGCGCTAATGCCAGGAACTGTTAATCCGATTTTAAAAAATTGTTTTGCTTTAGATAGCTGGTTTATTGAGGAAGGCTATAGGCTATATATCATCCCGGAAAAATGTCCGGTCCCGTAGGATAGATTTGTTTTTGTCTTGGGACGAACCCGAAGTGAAGTTTTTTGGAGTGCAAAAAATTTGTTGCTGTGTTTTAAGTTATTCATTATCTAAATCAAAACAAAAACAATATTTTGATTAATTATAAAACTAGATGAAGTTGATTCCTTTATATTTTAAATGTTTTGAACTTTTTACTATTATTTTAACCAAATTAAATTTTAATTGATGATAAAATAATATCATTACTTATTAATTTATCGTGACTTTTACACGATTCCTAAGAGATTAATAACCTTGAGTCCTGACCGGCTGACCCCTTCTCTAGCTTTCCGCCAGTATAGAACACTATGTGTTATTTGCCAACGTAACGATGGTAGAGTTACCATCTAAAATATATCTACTCGTAGTACCTATCTGGGCGACCACTTGGCGAAAAGATATATACAAGAATTGGTCATTTAATATTATAGCGACTCACCCTCGCTCCACTCGGTTTAGTCCCTTATTTTAAGATTAGCTAATATGGATTTCTCAAAGAAGAGATATTTACCGTAGTAAAAATATACTATATGTGGACCCGGATAACACGCTATCACCATACCAAATTTCATCAAAATCCGTCCAGTGGTTTTCTAGTGATGCGTTCCCAGACAGACAGACGGACGGACGAACGGACAGACAGACAAAAACTGTAAAACTATAGATTCGGCCTCTGTATCGATAATAATGTATATTTTAATAAGATTTTCCAAAAAATATTTAATACTTTACAATTTTATTTTATGTATAGATTAACACTTTTTTAATGTTTTCGACCATTTGTTTATTTGTCGTTTGTCTGTGCGTTTGTGCGCGATAATCTCAGAAACGGCTTAACCAATTTGGGTAAGGTTTTCATAAATGTATTGTATAGCTTCACTTAACATTTAGGGTTTGTTTTATTTCAATCGGTTCATTAAAAAAAAAGTTATGTCAATTTAAAGTATCACCTATCGCTTATCTATAAATAGATCGCGTTTGATATCGTATACAAGGGTCTTTAAAAAAAAAAAAAACAAGTATTTAAATAGTTTATTAAGTGAAACATCAAAACAATAAAGTACAAACAGATTTGTTACACAGAATTACATCATAGACTAAGAAAATGTGAAAGCCACGTATATTTTGAATCTAAACATTTATTACATTATACATACAATATTCTTGTGAAGAACACAAAGTTGTTTTATGACTTTAGCCATTTTCTCTTCACTATTTAGCTTGTTTGTAGGAAAAACTTACAGATAAAAAATAAGTATGGAAAATATTGACACGATCGATAGAAATACATACAATTGATATAAAAATAATATTTGTTCATACAATTATCATTTTTACTTTTTATACTGTCAAGAGTGGTTAATAATGAATATATAAAAAAAATATTTTCTTTCAACATAACCTAAAATTACAAAAATATTACAAAAATGAGTTCGGAAAATTGAAATTATCCGCTCAGGAAAATATTTGGCAATATAATATCTATTTAATAACGGCAATAATTTTAAGAACAACAAAAAATATTAATAAAGAATTACGAAGTATTATTTAAATTATAACTCGCGTCTTAATAAATTATTATCGATCAATTCAATCAATCAAAAAAATCAATCGATTCAAAACAAAGATTTTGAATTTTGTGTGAAGTCTATTATGTAAAATAACTGCAATATTATGTATATTGCAGTTATTTTACATAATATTGCAATAAAAATATTGAATGTAGTTAGAAATTTAGCCATAACTTAGGTGTAGATAATCACTATATATTTTCATCCCTGTTTCCGGTCGACATTTGCTCCTCTATATTAAAATAGGCAACGCTCTATTTTAAACAGCCTTTTCTTTCTTATAATTACAAGTTTTTCATAAAAAAGTTCACATAAAAAAAATATTAAAGAAAAAAGTAACCAAAAATAATTTTACGATTATTATGTTCAGTTGGCAAACATTTATTCAATTAAAGTTTTATTTCGTAAGTACTACAATTAGGTACATATATACTAATATTTGTAGAAAGGGTTGTTTAGAGTAAATATTCGTATGATATTTTCTTTAGACACAATTCTAAAACACCAATTATATTGTTATTTGCAAAACAAAAAGAAAAAAAAACAATTAAGATTATAACAAAAAAAAACGCAGAAATTCAGTATTCATTTAATTAAAAACAGTTGGCAAAAGTTTTAAATTGTCAATAATAATAATTATCGGAATAAAAAAATATTATTTAAAGCTACAAACACTTTAAGCATCGTATGTGTGAAATTGTTGTGCTTATTTGTTTATATCTTAAGTGTTTAAATGTTGTCTATACTATGTAATTGTAAAGTACCGAAAGAAGAAAAAATATAATATTTTTTATTTGCGTAATTTGTGCATAACTGACAAATATACGTATCTTGTAATCTAAGACATTCATATAAACCATAGACATAGAGAGTGGACTATTTCTTTACCGGTCGTCAGCTAAAAATGGCGGAAAGACGCGACAGAGACAGAACGAATGTGCGGCCAGAAGTATTCTGTATTGATTGAAATACGATTAATGAAGATAGATATTTATTAACCATTTTTCAAATTCCATCATAATGTTATAATTGTCAATAATATTATATATTTTTATATTCCATTTATAAATTCAGATTGGAATAAAAGACGTATTGGCTGCGCGTTCGCTTTCTCTCTTTCTAGAGTGGTTAATTTCATGAGAGTATTTATTGCTCATTGTCAGTCTATTCTCTATGTCTATGATATAAACATGTTTTTTTTTTTATTTCCTTAAACTTCATTTATATTATTATCAGATATTATTATTTCATACAAATAGTGATTTGATATTGCATTTACTGACACCAAAAATTCTAACACCAAAAATAACATTGGGCTACATTTTTTAATATATCAACATTAACTGTAATGAAAATTATATGGACGAATGTATGTCTATGTATATTTAAAAAAAAAATACATTTTAATGCTGCAACTTCAAAAAAAAAAAAAGATAAAAACCGATAGAAAAAAAGTATCTTTATTATTCATGCAAAGCACCAAGCAGAATAAATAAAAGCGAGCAAATTAAATATCACATTTATTTTTTAGGCAGACGGTATATTTTTATGTTACTGTCAAACGCGCAATCTGTCCGTGATGGGTAGACGCTTTTCAGATTGCCCTCTGTATCTACCACTTTTACCTGTAACATAACAATTTTAATTTATCATTTGCGAATAAAATATGAGATTGTAAATGGCGACTTATTAGATTTATTTTGTTTAACTCAGACTAAGGAATAAAATGGACAGACACTACACATGAAGTCGAACAAAAATGAAATAAATTCAAAATTTAATTAAACATTTATTGTGATATCATACTAATATTATAAATGTGAAAGTTTGTGAGGATGGATGGATGGACGTTTCTTACTCAATCACGTCAACTTAGAACGGAACTGAATGAAATTGATATGGAGATAGATTATAGTCTGGGATAGCACATAAGTTACTTTTTATCCTGGAAATATATATGATTCCCGAGGGATAGATTTGCTTTTGTTTTAAATAAAAATATAACATTTACCTGTTGTACACTTAAAGTATGAAACCCACTGTCTTCTCCATCCCCAATTCCCAAAAGGAGACACTCTTGCAGGAGTTTATCCATCACTATCTTACAGGCACCGAGGGAGGAGTGCGAAGTCACTTCAACAAGCATTGACTTACTCTCTTGAGACATCTGGAATAAAAATATGATTTATTAATATTATGAATTGTACTTCCTATTAATTTATCATTCCTTTAACAAGCAGAGAGTTGTGACATACGGGTTGAAATCTTAAGCTATTTTTGTTCTGTTACGCCAAAGAAGTATAACTTATTACTTGCGTACATAAGTACACACACACATTTTTTTTATTTACACTATACTACTACAGATTGCTTATCTAATACCATCAATCAAAAAAGTACTAGATACACAATCCCATGCAAAAGTTCTCTTAAAACTGTCACCAATTGTGTTTAGGTAATTATTCCAGTTGAAATAAATATACAACAATGTAAATTGAACCTTAAATGCAATTCTTAACACTTAACTTTTCACAAAAAAAAAATTATAAGCGCGCTCAAATGTTCAAATGAGCGTTCATTCGGTGAAGACACTTTTTGTCGCTGATTGTGTATCTAAACTTTTTTGCTCAATATCTACTACAAAGAAATTAAATGGCCCTAATTTGAGCTTTTCTTGTTTGAAAGTAAAATCTATAATCAACTTTGTTGCCCTGCAAGCTGTCAACCTATTTTACAAAATAATATGGTGACTATTATTGTTTGCAACTGGGATAAACTACTCATAAAGTACAAAAAGCATGGTGTTTTTTGTATTTCTATGACTTATGGCTTACTTTTATATCATTAGTAAACTAAATTTATGATGATGATGAACCCATGGTATTAATAAATACTAGCTAGATATTTATCTAGTATACATTATTGATTTTGCAGAAATCTTGATCTTCCTTTTAATTATGATATATTTAGCTCAAGCTGTAGTTTTCAATCAAAAAGACGATTTTGTTATCTTTTCAACGGAAGCATGTGTACAGAAACATTACTTAAAAAGCCTTACCTTTGTGTCATCAGAATTAGTGATTGGTGGGAAGCTGATGACTCTGCCAGAAGCATCTTCTAAACATGGATATTTTGGTTTTCCTTCAAGAAGGTACAAATATCTGCAAAAATAAGTTGTACAATAGTTGCAAATGGATTTTGAAGATTTCTTAAGTGATAAGATAAAGTTTTAGTATAAATTGTCTTACTAAGTTACACTACTTACTTATGTATTCCAGAGTATACATTCCTCTTCTTCTCCTTCCTCAGTGCATCAGCTTCAGATGTTAGGTGCTGGAAAAGCTGTTCTCCCGTATAGGCCTTTGTCCTTGAAAGTGGTGTTAGAGATAGTTGAGATGGCACTTTTGCTGTATAGATAATATCACCTGTAAATTAAAAAATAAAACTATATTGTAAGAATATGAATTCATTAATTACTATAAATAATGGTTTTTTATACTATTTAATTTTTACAACACATTTGACTGTTTGTTGTGACCTTACTTACTGTGCCTGCGATCGCAGGTTCGAGTCTCGCTGGGGGGAATCATTTGTGTGATGAGTATGAATGCTTGTACTCCAGTCATGGGTGTTTATATTTATAATATGTGTGTATTTAAAGTTATATATGTGTAGTGTATCAACTATCTGATATCCATAACACAAACCTCGTAGCTTACCATAGAAGTTGATGGTGTTGTGTATTAATGTCCTAACATATTTATTTAATACTGTTAAACTATTATTTTTGCTTTAGGTAATGGTAGAAAAATTGCTATACAACCAGTAGTTTTCATAGCATAATATTGAGTAGATAAAAAATTAAGACATTTTCAATCCATACACACTTACCTGGAGGAATTTTGCTAAGATCGTGTGTAGCTATAGTAGCTACATTTCTTTTGTCACATACAGTGTCATGTAACTTGGTTTGCATTTGAATAAACTTTTTAAATAAAACCTCATTAAACTTCAATTCTGTTACGATACAGCACAAGATAAATGGCCTAATGTTCCAAATTTCATTTTCAACTATTTTCACTTTCATTGTATCATCTTCAACGTGTAATATCTTCATAGAATGGCATAAGTCGCATACATCGCCAGGAGGAGGTTCTTCTTGCTTCTTCCCTTTTTTACCTTTCCCTTTGCTAGAACTTTGAACATTATCTGCTTTGGGGCAGTGTTCTCTTATATAATCAATAACTTGTTTTGTTCTGCATTGATCTACTAGCTTCATAAGACGTTTGTCAGCTAGTTTGTTGCCTTTGAGATTTAGTTCTAAAAATTATTTAAAAAAAACTAATCACACAGTTATATATATATATATATATATATATATATATATATATATATATATCAGCTACGATATGCATTAATAAATTTAAATATGATGAAATTTAGTGCAATAATTGATTTCAAAATGATGTAATTTGATGAAATTATGCAATTTTAAATAATTTAAGTAAATTACCTTTTAATTTTGCCATAGTTGCAAGTTCTCCTGGTACTGTTTTCAACTTATTATCGCCAATGTCGAAATTCTTTAGAGAAGGTATAGTTCGTGCAATATGGTTGGGAAGAGATTCTATTTCATTTCCTTTTATTTTCAAATCAGTTAAATGGGGCAAATTTGAATTTTCAGTGTCTAGAAATACTGAAAGCTTATTGTTCGAAACATCGATTGTGATCAAGTTTGGAAAATCACCGAGTTTTGGCATTTTCTCGATAAGATTTGAGCTGAAATTGATGCTCGTTAACTCTTTCATTTTATTTAGACTATCGGGGATAATAATTAGTTGATTTCTAGACAAATCCAAGACTTTTAATTTCGGCAAAGAGGTTATATTTTCGTTAAATTCTTCGAGTTTATTACCGAATAATAAAAGCGATTGCAAGTTGACAAGCAGTTTTATATCATCAGGTATAGTTGATAAATTTGTATCGCTGATATTTAGAAGATTTATATTTGTTAATTGGAAAATATGTTTGTCCAAACCACTTTCAGAAATGCGTTTTGATATCGCAGCTCCCGCCAATTTTATTTCATGTCTGTTTTCAGACTTTGCAGTCAAAATTTCTGGCCACGCACTCATTTTCACAAATTTAATTTATTACAATTTTAATTACAAATATATTTCTCAAAATATTCAATACCCAACACGTCGTTGAAAGTTGCAACTTGCAACGATGAACGAAAGTCGAAAAATAAATATTAAATTTAATACAGAAAAAAATTATGGGTATACCGATTACAGATTATTATTCTTATTGAGCACAGATAATCAAACAAGAAGGCCACGTTCATACATATCATTCGCTATAAAAAAAAACATTTAAAATGCTGAAGGTTTCTCGAAGAGGGCGTTCGAGGGCGCCACACGTATGGCCTATTTACAATCACTCTGAGGTTAAGCAATTTATTTATTGTGATATCTTAGCAGTTGAGTTCGTATCTTACCTGTGCAATGTATTGTAACTGAAAGTTAGACCAGCTCAAGGAAGAATTGAGAAGTAGAAGTCCTGGCTGACTGATGGATCAACCCATAGCCTAAACAGGTGGTCATAGAAACGTGAAATTTAGAGGTCGTATTCCGTTTATGATGTAGGCATCCGATAAGTAAGGATTTTCCGAAATTCATCCCTTAAGTGCATAAAATAGGGGATTGAAGATTGTATGAAACTCTGTCATTCTTAATTTGAAACACGCAGAAAGTAGTGTTTAGCTTTAAGGTAGAAAATATTTATTTCATTTTTTTCGCAATGGGGGAGATTTTTCGAAAGGAGGGTGCCACATGCATTGCCTGTTTACATTCAATATGAGGTTAAGCAATTTATTGTGATATTTCTTTTAAACCTGGTTTTTTTGCTTTTATTGTGTTCGCATCTTACCTTACTGTACGTTGAAATTAGACCAGCTGAATGAACAATTGAGAAGGAGAGGTGCATCCTGTGGTGGTTCCGACTGACTGATGGTTCAACATAAAACATAAGCCACTGGTTATAGAGACATGAAATTTTAAGGACGTTTTCCTTTTAAGATAAATTAATTTTTTTCGAAATTCATCCCATAAAGGGGTAAAAGCGGCTAATAAAGTTTATATGGGCAAAGACTTGAAACTTGGTATCAATACTCTTCAATACAATTAAATAAATACGTGTTTTAGCATTTTTCGAAATTCAATCCCATAAGGGGGTAAAATGGGGAATGAAAGTTTGTTTGAAACTGTGTAATTAATATGTAAAAAGGTACAAAAAAATATATTCACCTGTAGAAGATTTGACTTTTAAAATCATTTTCTTAAAAATGATGTATAAATAGCCTTAAATATAAAAATTGTGAATAGATACCTATATAATAGAAATAGGAAGATATTACATAGTACCTACACCATGGATGAAGATACACATATGATGTAACATACCCAAAGTAATTTAAAAAACAATCTATCCATACATATAATAAAATTCTAACTGGGTTGAATCTGTACATTAAATATCTCTTGGAAAATCTTATTGAAACAGTCACTATGATCGATACAGAGGCCGAATTTATAGTTTTTAAATTTTTTGTCTATCTGTCTGTCAGTCTGTGACCGCATCAGGAAAAAAACACTGGACAGATTTTGATGAAATTTGGTACGATATTAGCTTGCTATCCGAGTCAACATAAAGGATACTTTTTACCGCGGGAAAATATCCCTTTTTTCTGAAAAGAAATACAAAAACTGCAATGTAAGAGTATACTAATACGTAAAACCTAAGAATTTGCCTTTTGGTCATCTGAACGCGGGCGGAGCCGCGGGGAGTATATATAGAATAAAAAAAGGTACCAATAGATTACAAAAGTATGAATGATATTGATTATAGTCCGAAATATAAACAGTGTTTAGTTCTTTGCATCGGAAATTAAATCGAAATCAGTATTAGAATATGTTAGCCGATATGAATAGACATTAAACTGATAATTTTTTGTCCTATCTATGAACTATTCATACATATGGCAAAGGATAACGAATCTGTCTGTGTATATAAAAAAGTTATAAGTTTTCGTAGTGGAAGTTCCAAAATGACGTCTTCAAAGAATTATATAAAATTATATAACAATACATTTAAGTTTTTTTTTTAAATATTTCACACACTAGAAAGGAAGAAAATATAATTCTAATTGAAGGTATTTCTTACCGGCAAGTCCCAGAGCTAACTTCGAACTATAAGGTCAGTTTTATAAAGTCAATTTATTCTTTATAATATGTTTATAAAGGCACAAATCAAGATGTTTGGTCTGAAAACGCTAAGGTACCAAGGAAATATTATTATTAGTATCAATAGGGAACATGCAAAAAAATTTGCAATCAAAACAATGAGCCAGTGAGTGTGGAACTTAGACAAATTCCACATAATAATAATTCATACATAATTATTTAAAGAGTATAGAGATCAAGCGTTATTTCACGTTGTTATTGGTGTTTCCCAAAAAGTATTAATATAAATTCGTATATTTTACACGATTTAAAAATAGATATTTAAAATTGTTAATTTTAGTTAACGAGAGTTAGTGCTCAAATGCCCGATTTGTCCAACAACCCATAAGCTACCACCTACGTATGGGATCCCTAGCTTAAAGGTCCCCTAAACTACCCCCTAAATTAAATTTCGTTTTACGATAGTCTTTAAGCCCATATTTCGAGCACCTAGATTTAGGGGGCCTTTTAATATTTAGGTGATCCCTAACTATCGGTGAAACAGAAACTGTCCCCTAACAGCCCCCTAACCATGCTTAGGGGATCCCTTAAACTTAGGCGACGTTGGTGAAATCGGGCATTAGTCTAACTGAAAGCTACCACAAAACTCTTATACGATTCTGTAACCTTTAGCTACATAGACCGTGCTATCCACGTGTTTAGACTTTAGCAGAGGTAATATACCGGACGCTTATAGCACGGTAATGTAATGCATACAGTATTCCAACTCGGGCCTGTCCTTGAAATAATTACCTACAGCCGAGCGGCACGTACCCACGCGACAGGGCTGCCCGAGTGCCCGCCTACCAGTATTTTAATTTCATCTACCTACATGAGTTTCTTTCTAATTTTGTGATTCCAAATATTATATTTTTTATTAAAAACTATTATTAGTAGATTTAATTAAAAAATCCCAAATTTATAAGGCTGGTATGTGTGTATGTACCCTTATAAATTTGAGATTTAAAAATATTTGCACCTCGACTGAGATATACGAAAAGCTTTATTGTTAAATTTAATAGTATAAAGAATCTGCATTCAGATAAAAAGTTTAATTAAATTTTTTTTTTATTCAATTAATTAGTTTTTATTTTTAAAACATACGATGTCTCGATACTTTTTTGTTTGACATAATAGCGAATTTACGGAAGAAATAAAATGTTAATTTTTGTATCCAATTATAAAAGTTACATAACATAACCATCTTATAAAACTTTTGTATCAAATTATACGATGTGGCAGCCCCGCGCGGTTGTCTACCGAGTGTATACCGAACGCGACGAGCGTAGGTATAACTCGATTTCCGACCTTTTGTTTGAAGATGGAATACTGTATGTAACATTACCGTGCTTATAGTCTTCTACTCTTAGTCTTTACTACAATATTATAAATACGAAAATAAAATAAATATGAATAAATATGTTTCGACATTAACACACAACACCATCATAGTTCCATGGTAAGCTACGAGGCTTGTGTTATGGATAACAGATAGTTGTGTAGTGTACTACACATAAGTACATAACTTTAAATACATACATATTATAAATATAAACACCAAATGACTGGAGTACAAACGTTCGTGTTCATCACACAAATAAAATGCCCCCAGCTGGATTCGACCCTGTGACCGCTGTCACAGCAAGTAAGGTCACAACAAACTGAGTCAAACGTGTCGTCTTTGATGAATAAAAATGAATTGCTTATTAAATTGTTCTTGTTTAACCTATATTGTTTTTTCTTGTATACCGTTATTTAGAAATAGACTTCAAAGACATTGATGTGATTTAGGTATATTCTCAAAATATTAAGAAGAAAATTGAACAATGTTTGTGCAGCAAATATCTTATATCTTTAAACGAGCAATACTTGTATATATATGTATATAACCTGAAATTTAGTATACGGGGGTTTCGGGAGCGATAAATCGATCTAGATTAGTCTTGTGTCTGGGAAATCGCGTGTTTTCGAATTTTCGCACTATTCCACGCAAAATATGGGCGATAATTTCGCACGATCGGTCATAAATATCATGGTCAAGCGGCCAAGGCGCAAGATTGACAATGATAGGTGTCCGGGTTCGAATCCCGGTTGGAAACAAAGGTTATTTTTTTTTGTATTTATTCAAGTTTTTAGTTTTTTTTAAAGAAAATTTTATTTTTGACTAACAACTCCGAGGGAAGCTCGGTTGCCCAGGTACTACTATTCTTTATTACACTTAAAGTCAATACAGTTATTTAAATGTAGTTATTGTTTGCAGAGGTTAAGGTTAGGTTGTTCTTTAATATTTACTAAAATATAAAACCTAAAAAAGTACTTTTAATAAAAACTATTTATTAAAAGTATTACTTTTAATAAATATTATTAACTGTACTGTTTAAGGTGATTATTTTAATTTTCTTACTCTAGAAATAATTAAAAAAAATACACATTATACATCTGTTCAGTACACTTCCGCCAGCTAAGTGACAAAAACAAGAGCGTCCTATACGACATACATACATACATACATACATAGAGATATCTTTGTCACATTGCGTGAAATAAGTGCACACTCAACATCTTCATAGTACTCGACTTGGTAACAGAATATTGTCGCGACAAAAAGTTCTAGGTACAAAATGAACATGGGGCCTAATATGTACATATAATATAATCAGAATCGATAATAATCATTAAGTAAATTCTTGATTATTAATCATGCGTGATAAAATAAGCTTATGACGTAAAAATGACTCATTTAAATAAAAATATATGTATGTAAACTATGAAAGTAAGAAACTGGACTGGATAAGGCAGTGGTAGCCCAGTGGTAACGCGCTCGCTTGGGAAACCGAGTGAAGCAAGTTCAAATCCCGGGTCTCGCACTTCTGATATTTTTATGTGCGAATTATTTCCAACATGATTACCACTAGTTTTACGGTTACGGTGAAGGAAAACATCGTGAGGAAACCTGCCTGTCTTAGAGAACTTAGCAAGTTTTCGAAAGACATGTGAAGTCCGCCAACCCGCACTTGGGCAGCGTGGTGGACTATGGCCTGATCCCCCTGGTATTGAAGGGAGGTTGCCCAGCAGTGGGACGTTAAAAAGGGCTGAATACACATACATACAAGAAACTGGACTGCGTAAAAAGCTAGCTAAAAAGAAAGGAACAAGTTAACGAAGAAAAATTGTAGTTGGAGACATACTTACAGTATGTTTTTTTTGTAATGTACATTATACATATGTAAAGTAAGGACTGTAAATATTTTTAGGATCGACTTGTCAAAATCTTTATTTACTACACGAAAGTTTAGACCTGAAATCTGCCATTTTGATTTTGAATAATAATAATATAGCCTTATGATTTAATTTGCGAAATAATTGTATTTACATTTGTGTTATTAAGACGAATTTAACGAAGTATGAATTACTAAAATCGAATAATAATTACGAGAGAACATTGGATCAGACATACATACAGGTCAAACACATAATCCTCCTTTAGGCTTCGCCATAGTCGAGTAAAAATAAGATGAATATGCTAACTAGTGATACAAGAATATCTCAGTAAGTCAGTATGTGTCAGCTTTTTGGTATATATAATTATAGGAAATTATCAAATTAATAGCTCTATTTGAAAAGACTTATAAAAATGTAGAGTTCTTTATAGATATTTTGCGAATCAGTGGCCAATTTAATAAGATAATGCTATCAATTAATCAGATTTCATAACTAATGAAGCATTTAATACCTACGTTTAAAGTCTGATTTAAAAACGGAATAAAATTTATGTAACAACTAAAATGGCGGTGTGGGGAGCTCTTGTTTTATTATTTGTTGCATCTTCAGTGAGTACTTTTTCGTTTATTACAATAATATTAATAATACTTCGTTATAGTATTTTACTATTTATGGTCTAGAATTTAATTCTTTGACAGTTTCAAATTTGTTTTTTTTATTGTGCAACGAATTTATATCTGTGCAAAGTAGAACAGTATACTCGTCTAATATTTGTTTGGTTTGAACAAAAGGAAAGTCTATTGATTTTGTATTATTAAGAATTCGCGTTTAAGTACATAATTGTTTCTTGAATAAACCTCTGTTGCCTTTTGAATTTAATTTTTTATTCTATTTTTTTTTCTATTAAGTAATTGAGTTTTATTGGGTTTCTGTGAAATTTTGGACCATATAACAAACTATTTATATGGTTCAAAATTTTACAGATAATAGCCGAATGATTTATTTAATCTATATCTGATTTTAAGTTAAAAATAACAAATATTTAAATTTCTTTAGTTGTTTCTTGATTTTAAACTATGCAGAACGGATAATAATTTAGCTAAAAACCAATAAAGTATTTTTTTTATTTCTAATCATTTAAGAGTAAATAGTATTTTATTCTGTATTAGAGCCTATCTTGGGGTCTTATCAGCAGAACTGCTTTCCGAGCCGGTGGTAGCTTCCTTACAGACTGACGACACTGATGCCCGATTTCACCAACAACCCATAAGCTACCACCTACGTATGGGATCCCTAGCTTAAAAGTCCCCTAAACTAACCCCTAAATTAAATTTTGTGCTTACGATCGTCTTTAGGCCCATATTTCGAGCACCTAAATTTAGGGGCCTTTTAATATTTAGGTGACCCCTAAATGTCGGTGAAATAGAAACTGTCCCCTAACAGCTCCCTAACCATGCTTAGGGGATCCCTTAAACTTAGGTGACGTAGGTAAAATCGGGCTCTTTAAATTATATTGATTCATTAAGGTCTACAAAGGTTGAGCCCAAACTCTAGAGAACATGTGGGAAATAAACGAAATATATAGTTAGTTTAAAAGTTTTGTATATTCCAGATAGATCTTATAAAAGAAATAAATTATTTATGTTTACTAGCGTATCATGTTTTATTTTTTTAATATAGGTTAGTGCTCTCCCGAATTCCCAGCGATTAGCCTATCCTGAAGATGTTCGAGGTATGATAAATATTATACATATTATCTTCTTCAATCTTTCTTGTATAGGAAAAAAACGCTTGTGTAAGAACATTCACCAAAAATACTAAGTTTTATATATCTTAATTGGAAACGATATTTTAATACCAAAAAAAGGTACAAAAAATTTACACGAATGGATCGTGTAAATTTTTTTGTACCATTTCTTTTTTTGATGTCATTAAATGAAGCACTTGACTTATATTCAGTACGACTCACCCAGGCTCCGCTCGGGGTTTTCCCTAGGAACATTTTAATGGTTAACTTAAAGATTTCTCAGAGATGAGATATTTTCCCGCAATAAAAAGTACCGTATATGTTGATCTGGAAAACCAGCTATCGTCATACCAAATTTCATCAAAATCTGTACAGTGGTTTTCTCATGATGCGGTCTCAGACAGACAAACAAAAATTCTAAAAACTATAAATTCAGCTTCTGTATCGATTATAATAATACTATTTTAATACGATTTTCCAAAAAATATTTAATGTACAGATTCGACTCAGAATTTTATTATATGTAAAGAAAACGGATTGTTCTCAAATATGTTCAATCTGTAGGTGCATCTAGCAGGATTGTCTCAGGGTGGGAAGCGAGTGAAGGCCAGTTTCCCTATCAACTTTCATTGCGTACTGTAGACGACTGGGCGAGACTTAGGTCGTGTGGTGCATCCCTAATTCATCACAGATGGGCTGTCACCGCTGGTCATTGTATTGATTAGTTAGTATATTAACAGTTTATATAAAAATTATATTCTATATATAGATAGACTAGCATTGCCCGCGGCTCCGCCCTCGTTCAAATGACCATAAACCAAATTCTTAGGTTTTACATATTAGTATACTCTTACATTGCAGTTTTTGTATTTTTTCTCAGAAATGAGATATTTTCCCGCGGTAAAAAGTCTCCTATATGACCCGGATAACCAGCTATCACCATACTAAATTTCATCAAAATACCTCCAGTGGTTTTTCTGTGATGCGGTAAAAAACAGACAAACAGACAAAAATTCTATAAACTAAACATTCAGCCCCAGTATCGATAATAACGTTTATTCCATTATGATTTTCCAAAAAATATTTATTGTACAGATTCGGCTTAGTTACAATTTTATTATACGTATAGATATACTGTATATATCGAGTTACTGTATACCATTAATATGATAGACTGTAAAATCAGCAAGTATAATCACCTATAATTAAAAGTGCAATTAGCATGGTTTTTCTTATGTCATCTAGCTTTAAGTACTTTAATATTGTAGCATTTGTTGGTAGTTCAATAAATCAATATAGATTTAATTGTCTCGGTGGCCTAGTAGCTAGCATGTATCGTAGCAGATCCGGAGGTGTCGGGTTCGAGTCCCGAGTATGGCCAGGTTTAATTTTTCTGTTAAGATATTCTCGGTAGCAGCCCGGAGTTGGGAAGTTGGTGTTGCATCCCCGTGCCTCTGAGGTCACTAAATTACAAAAATAAATCTTAGATAGATAAACTGCAAAATAATTCTTGAACTTACTAATTTTTACAGTCAGGTAACAATAGTAATACGCGCTGGAGGCGTCGCGCTCACTCGCCCAGCTCTGATCTTCGAAAGCGTAGAACACCTCACCCACCCTCTCTTTGTGGATGCATTACCATTCGTACAACCTAATGATATCGGCATCGTCAAGTTTGATTATTTTGTCGAATATTCTGGTAAATATGTATTTTTGTTAAACACGTAGATTTATATTGATTTATTAAAAGATATTATCGAATATAAAAGTCAGAAATGAAAAATGTTTGAAATCATACACGTATGAATAATAATTAAACATTTTATGGGTCTTGGACGTTAGCCCTAAAGTGGAATGGGCTTTAAGTCTACAAAAGACGCTTTCTTAAGAAAATGATCTTAATGATCTATGATTTCTGATTTAAATCATTGAAAGAAAAAAAAATCGATTTTATATGGCGCCAATAGTTCCTTTTTTGAAAACTGTATTATACACTATACAGGTTCTACCGTATACTGGTCAGTATTTTTAAAAGAAATTAGCTAAAAAAATTAAAAGGGCAACCCATATTAGTACGAAAAGATAGACCGATTTATTCCGTTTGCGTTCCAAACACTTCCAAAAACACTCATAAGGTTTTTTTTTGTTTTTGAACTCTTTATAACAGATTTCTTTAAATGACAATATTTCCTGATTCAAAAAATACAATTTATCGTAATTCTTAAATCAATTAATACATTTAATAAATAATTTAAGCTAACATTCAACCAATAAGGCTGCAACCCAGCGTTCATAAAGACAGAGATTACAGTGGAATCAAACTACAGGCCAGTGGATGGGGTTTGAACTGGACTCGAGGTACGTGTCGACTAATATCGGAATCATATACATGTACCATATACATTTCCATATGTGTACACTATACATATGCTAACATAACATATGTATGTAGTCTTAAGTAAGCACAGCAAAATTGTTAGCAGTATTCAGTATGAGCTGTAAATATAGAATTATTGAGCACTATGATATATAGCTCTCACATAATCTGATTTTGTTATTCCTGTAAAGATAATAAAATTAAAGAACATGATAACATGTGCATAAACACACCTGAATATTTGTAGAACTTATTATTACAATTTTACAGCCAATTACATTTTGTATTAATACAGGTATTGGTGTCAATCCCGATAATTTAAATTGGGTTAATCTCGTCGGTATTTCTAATGAAGAATGTCTGGCCGCCTACAACAACAGTAACATCATCACCGCCTCTACCATCTGCGCTGGCCCACACAATGTCTCTAGCCAGTCTACTTGTGACGTAATTATTTCATTTTATATTTGCTGCTTTATATACTGTTTTAAATTGTTTGTTTAAATCTAGAGTTAAAGAAATATGGATAACGCGATATATATTCTTCATACTTAAATACCCAGTACCTGGGTTACCGAGCTTCGCTTGGAGTTTTTGACCTAAAGTACAATTTCCTTTTTTTCTTTTTTAAACTAAAAACTTGAATAAATATTGAAAAAAAAATTAAATGTGGCACTCGGAGACTGCCGCGGTAAAGCTATTGCATAGCATTTTTTATCAACTTATGCAATTATAATTATTGATTTATTTTATTAATGCAGTATTTTTTTTCCTTGACTTTCTTCATTAATAAATGCACTTTGTTTATTTATATTTAAAACACTTTGTACACAAATTATACGAGTACATATATTCACTGTTGTACATAGATGATAAATACCTATACACCTATATACTTTCTCACAAACAGCTGATTACGGTAGTTTTCCAATACAACCAATGCCACCTAAAGGCGGGTTGCTGAACTAAAAGAGACAAGCGTGATATTTCAAAAAGTCATTAAAAGTTCTGGTATTTATCGATAGATGGAAAAACTAAAAAGTATCACCGCTGTGCCGGTCGGAGTTGGGGGTATCAGGTTTTTTTCGTTACGGAATTTCTGGATTCGGTCCCCACGCTCAAGGCCCGCGATAGAAGCTATGCAATAGCTTAAAAACAAAAGTAAAAAACTTTG